GACCTGAGCGGGGAGGGGCCTATGTTACTGCATGTTCATTATTATTTATTTTTTTCACTCTGTTTGTATTCTTTGCTGCTATTGGTGGACAGTAAAGAAAGGGATATGCAATACTCGCCTCCGTGTCTTTAATAAAATCATGACTTTTCGTCATGTAATAGCAAAATCATGTAATTATCTCCTGGAAGAGAGAAACATGTCCTTTTTACATTTTGACAAAACTATATTAAAATCCATAACTTATATTTCGCCGAACATAGTCTCCAGGTTCCACATACCCCCAGATAGCTTGGATCTGAGCGCACAATATAGCCGAATAGCGCTCAGATCCCATGAACACAGTTCTCAATATCGTCGAGTAAAGTTTTTAGTTCACCGGTTGTTCGTGCAATTGAATCCAAAAATAGTTCCATAATTGCAGCTACCTGGGGTCGGTCTAGTTCGTATGGTAGGAAAGTCCCGAACGGTAGAGTGCTTGTGAGTTATTAGACGAATTGACTGGAACTTGGTACGCTTCAGCAGTGTGCGGCTAAATAAGTGTCCGATATAACAGTTCCAGGGTGTCAATGACCATCTACCGCTAAGCGTTCAACGATTTTAAAATGGCGACAGCCACGTGTTCGCAAACGAAAGCGGACCACCAAGCCTTTCAACAATTACTTGCAGTTAACCGCAAGGTCTGAGTGGTTAATGGGCTGCACACAACCCTGGTGGGTGGTTCGGGAGTTTGTTTGGCTCTTTTACAAACAACACGAAATAGCCAAACATACGAATTTCATATGAAATGCTGTTTCCCTGAGTCTGTCCAAACAGGGGTTTCGTTACAGTAAGTATTGCAGTTTAATAAAAATTTTAATTTCTCAATTTTTTTTATTTTATTCATATTAAATTATGTTACACAGCCTTCCCCTGATTAAAAATGAAACCATGCTGGCTGTGTCAGTCACAGGATTATTTGGGGCTTAGTCCCTTTCCCACTTTAGCAACACCTATGCCTCCACTTATTTCATTGTTTCATTTCTACAAGGTCAGAATACTTGTTAAAAAAACAAAAACAAAAAAAAAAACAAAAAAAACAAACACACACACACACACACACACAACAAAACACATTTGCTATTCCCAGTATATTGTATGTAGTCACTCCCATCACACACACACACACACCAGTTTTTTTAATTTTGTTTTTTGAGAAGTATATATAATTTTTTACATACTGACAACGTAATTTATATACGGGGGCATTATAGGCAAAGTAAAGTAACAAAGCATTCATTCATTCATTGTGTGACACAGCAAGACATACAATTGTAAAACCAAAACTCCCACTGTTTCAAATGTACAAAAAGGGTCATGTAAGGTTACTTAATAATAATAATAATAATAATAAATAATGCAACTAAAATGTAATTTAGAAAAAGATGTTATTTACACAGGCTGATTTCTAAACACATTTATTGTAGTTTAAAGACACATTACTGGGAGTATTATTGCTGTGGAGCTCTGTTATACACTCAGACACATTACTGGGGGTATTATTGCTGTGGAGCTCTGTTATACACTCAGACACACATTGGAGTATATTGCTGTGGAGCTCTGTTATACACTTCAGACATTACTGGGAGTATTATTGCTGTGGAGCTCTGTTATACACTCAGACACATTACAGGGAGTATTATTGCTGTGGAGCTCTGTTATACACTCAGACACATTACTGGGAGTATTAGTGCTGTGGAGCTCTGTTATACTCTCAGACATTACTGGGAGTATTATTGCTGTGGGGCTGTTATACACTGTCACATTACTGGGAGTATTATTACTGCAGAGCCCTGGTATACACAGACACATTACTGGGAGTATTATTGCCGTGGAGCTCTGTTATACACCAAGACATTACTGGGAGTATTATTGCTGTGGAGCTCTGTTTTACACCAAGACATTACTGGGAATATTATTGCTGTGGAGCTCTGTTACACACAGACACATTACTGGGAGTATTATAGCTGTGGAGCTCGGTTATACACTCACATATTACTGGGAGTATTATTGCTGTGGAGTTCTGTTATACACTCAGTCACATTACTGGGAGTATTATTACTGTAGAGCTCTGGTATACACAGACATTACTGGGAGTATTATTACTGTGGAGCACTGTTATACACTCAGATACATTACTGGGAGTATTATTACTGTGGAGCACTGTTATACACTCAGATACATTACTGGGAGTATTATTACTGTGGAGCACTGTTATACACTCAGACACATTACTGGGAGTATTATTGCTGTGGAGCTCTGTTATACTCTCCGACACATTACTGGGAGTATTATTGCTGTGGAGCTCTGTTATACTCTCAGACACATTACTGGGAGTATTATTGCTGTGGAGCTCTGTTACACACACATTACTGGGAGTATTATTGCTGTGGAGCTCTGTTATACACTCAGACACATTACTTGGAGTATTATTGCTGTGGAGCTCTGTTACACACACATTACTGGGAGTATTATTGCTGTGGAGCTCTGTTATACACACATTACTGGGAGTATTATTGCTGTGGAGCTCTGTTATACACTCAGACACATTACTGGGAGTATTATTGCTGTGGAGCTCTGTTATACACTCAGACACATTACTGGGAGTATTATTGCTGTGGAGCTCTGTTATACACTCAGACACATTACTGGGAGTATTATTGCTGTGGAGCTCTGTTATACTCTCAGGCACATTACTGGGAGTATTATTGCTGTGGAGCTCTGTTATACACTCAGACACATTACTGGGAGTATTATTGCTGTGGAGCTCTGTTATACACTCAGACACATTACTGGGAGTATTATTGCCGTGGAGCTCTGTTATACACAGACACATTACTGGAAGTATTATTGCTGTGGAGCTCTGTTATACACTCAGACACATTACTGGGAGTATTATTGCTGTGGAGCTCTGTTATACACTCAGACACATTACTGGGAGTATTATTGCTGTGGAGCTCTGTTATACACTCAGACACATTACTGGGAGTATTATTGCTGTGGAGCTCTGGTATACACTCAGACACATTACTGGGAGTATTATTGATGTGGAGCTCTGTTATACACTCAGACACATTACTGGGAGTATTATTGCTGTGGAGCTCTGTTATACACTCAGTCACATTACTGGGAGTATTATTACTGCAGAGCTCTGGTATACACAGACATTACTGGGAGTATTATTGCTGTGGCGCTCTGGTATACACAGACATTACTGGGAGTATTATTGCTGTGGAGCTCTGTTATACACTCAGACAAACCAACCACATGGAACTCCTAGAAAGAGGGATTTGGGCCCAAAACAGGGACAGCTGACAAGTATGAAAACACCCTGCTTATATTTTACCATAACATGCATGTTGAATGTAATATATTGATTAGGCATGCCACATTGTATTTACACAAACTGATGGGCAATGCATGAAAGGTACTGACCTTTAGTATGGAGGTCGATGATCCAGGTAATAAATCAGTCAGGAATCTTAAAGCCCCTCACATCCATTCTGATGCCAGATTTTAATATCTGTATATACATGAGAGATATTAAGCACATTGTCCGGATGTTTGTTTTGAATTCAGGATATTAGTTTTGCAGAGAGCACTCTGTAAGTACATGGAGTGTGTAAAGCTGTGTGTGGTCCCAGCTGCAGGGATCCTAATGAAATCAGTAAATGGAGCCACTGATTAAGGTGCAGCTAACTGTCAGTTAAACTAAGACTGGCTTTAAAGCTGTTAGAAGGAAGAACAGTTAATTCAGGAAGGCAGAATCAAGGCTAGGTAACATGGAGTCTGTCACTAAAGGTAAGGGTGCATTAAATATTAATTGCAGGATTTAATTCACTTATTCATACACTCACAGCAGAAAAATAAAATTAACTAGATAGAAGCAATATTGGCTCAACCTGTAGATAACATTTAATAGGTTGTGCTTAAACTGAGGACGTGGCTCTTCTTAAATTTTAATTCTCACATTCTATTTATTTTATATAAATTATATCAAATGAAACAGTAACTGCTAATGGTAACATTAGCTTAGAGTGCGTTCAATATGTAACAGTGACATCTAGTGGATTTAAACTATAGCTTCTTCAATTTCCTCTCCAATTGATTGCTTGTCTGAATGGAGCCCTCTAGTGGATTACAGGAGGAAAGCATGGCTTAAGTGATGCAATTATTGCCTAATGTTCTAATATGTAGATACCAAAACCAGCTTTTAAAACTATTAATCTGATTTAGTCATCAAGCTATAGATGAAGAGAGGTGAATAACTGCTGCAAATTTAACTTAATAGGAAGCAGCTGGTTTTTCCAAACTCATTTAGCTGTCCCACCATGAGATATCCCCTTGGCAGTACCAATTCACAGTGTTAGAAGTGGTCTCCTGATCTTTACTGTGGTTTGGGAGGAAGGAGTTTTTCCTGATCCAGCACTTAACTCTCACAGTTGTATTTGATTTTCTATCTTAGCTGTGTCTCTGTCAAGGGTGTCGTGGGCGGTTGGGGACTGACCCATGCTAGAGCCCCCTCCGTGTGGAACAGCAGGGGTCGCTGAGATTATGGGTGCAACCAGGCCCTCTGTGTTCTGCCTGTCACAGGGGACCCATGGACTGCCTGCCTTATGGCCCCATGAAGCAGGCGGCAATGTGTTAAGAGAGTAGACACCTGCTTACCCGTAGTGTCTGTCAGTGATAATGTGATAAACTGTGTATGTGTCAATCAATGAGAGTCTGTTTGTTTAAAATGATGCAAAATGATGAATAAAACAAAAGCTTCACTCAATGTGATTGGTAGTAATATGCATACATGCGCATGCACACATTGTGTATATTACACGTGCATGTGTTATGAAAGACCACAAATCATTTATACATTTCACTTCCCCACAGAGGACAAGGCTATACATAAAACACTTGCAAAAGTGGGAACCTTGAAGAGAAAAAGACAGATGAGGAAATTTCTTGATCAGATGCCAAGAGACAATTGTGACGACATCTTTACCTCCAGTCCATACCAGAACATCCGAGTAAAGGTAAATATTGGCACTGTCTGCATTGCTTTAGAGAGACTCGGTATATACAAACTCTTTTGATTAACTTGGCTCCCATCATTGACTTTTGCGTATAAATTAAAACTTAAAAAAAAAATCTTTATTTTTGTGGTGCAATTGTTTAACACATACTCTTGCAATGCCCCAACAGCAGTGACACGGATTGTACTGTACATACATCAACAAATAGAAGGCATTTGATATTACTGCACACATTTTTAAAATAATTACTAAGATTACAGGCTAGTCTAACATGTTCGAGGTATATATTGAATCATCTGGCGTGGTCAATGTGTACTACCTAGACATGTCAGTGGTCATATGAAAAACGTGTTAAATAACAGGCTTGATAGACAGGAGCACATAGAAGTGAAGGATGAGCAAGTAGGTTGCCAGGCTGGCCCAGTTGTCTACATTAGGTTGTTAGGTAACAGGCTATCTGCACATACACCTAGAAGCAATAAAGTGTGCCAATTGTCAGCCTATATTGGGCTGCCATGAAGAGTAAAGCAGTGAACAATAATAAAAAATAAAAAAAAAAGCAAGCTAGTGTGGGCATATTCTGGGTGATTGGTACCCCTGAGCTCTTGCAATTCTGGCGTAAATTACGTGAGAAGTAAACCCACTACAACCTGACCCTCAGTCACATGGCTTCACTGCGCTGCTGATAAATTAAAACTTTTATATACTTTGCATCAATGTCCACTTACATTTCTCGGTCTGTGTGGGTTTATTAAATAATGCGCTTGTATTTCACATCTAGTCATCTACTAACTTATACAATCTTGCTATAGTGAATAGATGATACAAAATACAGATTAAAAAAAGCATGTGTCCAATAAAAGTTTTAAAAAGTTTTTTTATTTTTTTTTTATTTACAAGGCTATTTAAAATCTCCTATCTTGGCAAAAAAATATAAGGATTCAATTCCACCATATTGTGTTAAGCCCATCACTATGTCACAGTACCCCAATATCGGTGGGTCCTACACTAATTCCAACAAGGCATATTTACATATAACACTTACAGCTTAAACTGCTTCCAGAGACTCCATTTTTGCTTTCCTGGTGTCCCCTCCAAAGAGCACCCATAGTGGATGTGTGGGGTGGATCCAAATTTGCTAAGGAATATATACATTATACAGGTAAAAACACGGCAGACACACGGTTTTACATGTTGTGTGTAACTAAATCCTCATTTGTTTGCCAAGAGGTTCGAAGTAGACTTGTAACGTTTATTTTATTTATATATTTTGGTCTTTAAGGCTGCACCACTATGGAGAAATGCCTGTTTCTGGTGTGCCCCCATTTCCAATTCCATTCCAGTGAATAGATTATGATACATAATTAAAAATACATTTGCCACCATCTTTCTTTTTAGATGACTGGCTCTCTTCAATTATTTCACAAAACAAGAAGGGATCTATCAATTGTAAGCTTGCTTGAGCATGGTGATCAGTAACACGTTTCAAACAGCACAGTTATGCAGAGTATGTTGGAGCTATATGAATGCTAGTGTTTTTTGCATTCGTTAAAAAGCCAGACTTCTTCCTTATGTTCACAGCTGCCACCTCTGGATATTTCCAGTGACTTTTCCTTCGAGCTGCAGGATGCCAGTCAAAGTTCTCAAGATACAGGACTCTGCTTGGATGCTACCCCTGATCTGTCCTATCTCAATCCTGAAATGCTAAAACCTGGAGAATTGTAAGAGTAGGACTGTGCCCAAAAATTCACTGCTCCAAATATGTCAATCACCTGCTGAGACGCACCTGCCTTACAGAGACTTCTCATTGAGCTGCATTGGGAAGTCTATAATTGGACAGCTACAGAAAGTTTTGCAAGCTGTTTTTAGATATATCTTCAATGGAAAAAAAAAAGCATAATTAAATGCATGCAAGTTTTAGTTTGGTGTTATCTACTAAATAGTGATTTGTTTTAAAACGTATTTGGGCAGTGGAGTGTCCCTTTAAGACAAGAGCCTTCCGTAATTCCATTTCCACTGTTGCTGGAAACATTGATCCGTTCAGTTTCCCACGAATTGAAATTTCACTGTGGCCCTTAATTTTTTTTTGGGAGGGGGGGAGAAATATTGGCAATATGCAGTATTTACCTACAGCTAATTCGACAATCTTCCTGTTGCCACTCTGCCACAGTTTGTGATATGGTATTGTAGCAAATAAACATTTGACTTCATATACAATTAATACAGAAATGTTTGGACTTTGAGTTCAGGCATTTTGTCATTATATTTATTTAATCTGTAGTACACTCCATCTCAACATAAAGCAAACGTGACCTAGATGTACGTAAAATAACAGTCTCTTATTAAATGTCAGTGATTTTTATCTAGCAAAGGATAATTAATTAACATTAACAGATTTTTACTTGTAATTATTATTTTTATCCTCTCCCCCTCTCCCCCCCCCCCCTTCTTTAGAGAGGCTGCTGACCAGTATGTGTATAGACTACAAAAATCAACAAAAAGAACGAAGTTTAAAGTTTGTTGCGTTAAAGAAAGAAAGGTAATGTATTACATTCTCTGGGACATTAGGCATGAGACGCAAAACAGATTAGTGTAGTGTTGATGGTGCCATCAGCCTAGTTCTTCTTAAATCAGTTTAACTATTTGATTGGATATTGGCTTCTCTGTAGTTTAAGCCCAGACCCTATGCTGCTGAATAAGATTGGGCACCTCCGTGTTATCAGCCGAGGCGGGCTCAATCACTCTCAGCTGACCACTGTTGTTCCAGTCTGGACAGATAATTTGAAAGTAAGAAATGCAGCAGAGGGCACAGAATTTGTGTGCTTGGGTAGTCCTATCTTTTCTATACAATGTACAATTAAAAAAAAAAATTTTTTTAAATTTAATAAAGAAAACTTCAGCCATGTTGGGTCAGATGTCCATTTTATCTGACCAACTGCTGCTCAATCCATGCTTTCACAGAGAGCAATCATCGCAGCAGGCCTGCGTGGCTGCTCAGCTAAATAAAAAATATAAACTATTTAGAGAACATCTGCTACTGTGGTAACGGTTTTAAAATAGTGAATTTGACAGCTGTCATTTAAATGACAGGAGTCTCAAACATGTCAAAAATAAAAATCTGTGCACTTGGGACGCTGTGCCAAATAAAAAGTACAGACAGGAAAGCGTCTCCCATGCTGTGAATATTAGAGCAATGTGATTGGTTAGAAGCCAGCCAATCCCAGTGCTCTGACAAGCCTCGTCTAGTCATGTAGGGAGACAGGAGATTTTTAAAAACTGAATTACAAAACTTATTTTAATAGAGTGGTATTTGAAAACCTAGAATTCCTATTCTGTAATCACAGCTTTGCCAACTTAATTATGAAATTATTTTATTTTTTCTGTTCAACATGGGACCGTGTCCAGTAGATAAGTGAAATAAGGGCATTCCTCCTGACACTCAATGGTTTAAACACCACTTTATAGAAAATCCTCTGATACGGTGGGTTTTAAAAAATAAATAAATAAATGGTAGTTGGTAGGGCAATCACCATAGAAACCTATGAAACCAGACGGTAGACTTGTGCAAAAAAGTTTCTGCCAGTTGATCCAAAACAAGTTCATTTTTAATCCGACCTGAACATATGGATTAGTTTTGGGTTTGTATGAACCAGCTGGTACATTTTATTGGTGACTCCTCTCCTTTTACATTGTAACATTTTTATAAGGCATAACGTTGGTAAATATCTCTGTAAATCCAATAGGAAGGATGCTAGACCAACACACCTAGCCCAAACATATGCCACAAATCTTACATGGTGTTTATGAAGTCTGTTTGACAGATTTATTTTTATTTAAGGCAGGACCCTCACAAGCTCCTGTTTGTCAAAGACCATTTCCTGGTAAGTTCGAAGTAATGCGGTCCTGAGTAATTGCCATGGAAACATATGTCAACGTTTTAGCCCCTTTCCCCCTCTAGCTTGACTAGTCCCCCCCTTAATTTGGATCCTATATTGTACAAACAAATCAGAATTTAACTTTTCTGCCAGTTTCAAAGGTATCTCCTTATGCTAATGATCCTCCGGTTGCAAAACTACATCTTCCTAGTGATGCATCCCATAATTTGATCAAGTCAGAATAATGGTTCATGTGAATTGTGGCATGTATTTGTATTACAGTGATAAAAGGGACACTCCAGACACCTAAAGCACCGTAGCTTTATGTGTGAAGAGCGTGTCCACTTTCTTTCCATTTTACAAAGTGCTGATTTCAAGAGGCAGCAATTGCCCAGAGCACCTGCCTTGCAAAGAATTTTCATTGACCTGCATTAGAAAGTCTGTAATTGGACAGCCACAGAAAGTCTGGGCGGAGTTATAAGGGGAGGGCTTGCAAAGGCTGCAGACGAGAGAGTTGCAGTTTTTTGCAATAATTTTTTTTTTCCTCTCACTCTCTCATAAAATGGTATCTAACACTTAAGGTAAAACTCTTTCTTTCAGACTGCTCAATTATAGAAAAACGAATGGAAGATGAGCCCACAGACATTTCTGAAGAGGAAGATTACTATTTTACCATGTCTCCCTGAGGCCATTAATCTTCTGCAGTTATATGCTCCAAAGTGAGAATTGTCCCAAATTTCAAAGTCTATGGCCACAGTAAACATACTGGAAGCTTACTACGTCTGCTACGCTTCTCGTTTGGCTATTGTAACCTTGCTTTTCTAATTTCACTTTGAATTCTAATAATTCTCACTTTAATGAACAACCCTGTAAGCTCTGTGGTGTAGGATGAAATGTAGATATAACCTATTTGGTTTTAACAGAAGATATTTATAAGTGCTCAGTATTTTGGTAATATTGTATTTAAAACAGAATTAAACTTAAGTTAAATTAATGGTGTGTGTGTGTGTGTGTATATATGTATATATACAAGGGTCATAAATCTGTATTTGAATAAAGAGGAAGGGAGTGATTTGAAGGATAACTGGTGAGGGTGTAATATAAGGTAATAAAGTGCAGGGGGTATAGACAGATGTGATCTGGAAATATGGTGGTATGGAGGGGTGTAATAGAAAGTTATAGTAGGGGAGGTTGTCTTCAAACGTCATACTTGTACAAAGTACTAGTTTATAATGTGTGGTGGTTTAAACCTGTTGTAAACAGGTTCTGATAAAATGAAACATTAAATACAGTAGAAGTCACCTGGTGTGTATTAGCCAATTTGGGACATGTAAAGGAGTTAAAATAAGATGTTTGGCAGGAAGACAGAGAAAGGGGCTTAGTGTTAGCGTATTAGCAGGGGCCCTAATTATAGTGGAACAAGTGAAAGCCTCAATGAGAGTAGTGGAAAGGGTGCAAAGGCTGACATCTTGCGGAACATTGTGACTGGACATCAAGACGATTTGTGCAAAGGCCGAGTGGGCTTCATTCCAGGTTGAATTAGGGCACATACATCATCTATGAAACAGTGGCCCATTCAACTGCCCAAAAATGAGACCTAGGCCAAGTACCAAAACGGATACTGCGGGATCCCAAATTAACAAAAAAAATGGACATATGTTTAATCTAGGGATCAAGAAAGGGTGCAACAGGATAAATCAGGTAGGCAGCCTACGGCACCACCAACATTGTGGACTGCATCTGATACTTTACCAACATTACTGTTGTAAGAGCATTATGGTAAATGTAGTGTGGAACACTCCCTACCTCTGATCTAGATGTTAATCCCATCAGCCAATCAGACATACCATTATAATGATCAGTGATTCACAAGAACCCATGTCACATAATTGGATGTCCTGCAACATGCCGAATGCACCCCCGCTCCTTGCCCAATGTATGAGGTCCTGAAAGCGTACCATTAGCTCTGCGGCTCGAGTGGTCAGTGTTCCAGAGAAAGTGCTGATGTTACAATGCTCGGTTACATCCTAACTGCAACGTGACAAGTTTAGCAAACTTTGTGCAGGTGGAGAACAGAGTGGTTCAGGAGCTGTAGCGGATCCTCTAAATAAAACAAACAATATTTTTGGCTTTTAAATCGGTAATCTAAACACCATAACCCCATCAGTACACTGTACACATTACCGTGCCAGAAAGGTTTTAAATCAAGGTGTCACATGCTCCAGCCCTTGTTCAGATATTGCTGAATGGGAGTTTCTATTTGATGATTGGAGAGATCGGTCTTTGGGGGGAAATCACATAGCCAGAACACAGCCATGTTACAGTGACTGCAGATTACACAATAAGGAGAACTACCGGGATTGTATTCAAACACCACACAAACTATTTATGACACAAAGTGAAATTCCTGAGAACGAACATACATACACATCACTCTGGAAGAGGCCAACCACAAAAATAATTTTAGAAAATTGCAAATGTATTTATTTTACAAAATAATTATTTACATTTAAAAAGAAAAGAAATGCCACATTTGCAGTGTTCTTTGGCACACCCCATCTATACTGCCTGATGGAGGCGTAAACCTATATTCTGCCGATGGTGCTAAATATAGAAATATCTACACAGAAATATACAAATATATTAACAGGCTTTAAATAAATAAAATAATCCACTTAACATCCGGTTCTTTTTATAATTTCCTGATTGGTTGCCACCATTTCTCAGTCAGATGGGTTACGGAGGTATCGGTAAATTTCTTCTGCTTTTTTATCACTTATTTCACCACACTTGGCAATCTCGGCCAATGAGCTATGAAAACAAAAAAATATACACATTAAGTAACAGCGGTACAGGGAGGGGGGAAGGTAACTTAAGAGAGTGCATTTTGGTAATAGGATAAAAGATGACCAAGGACAGACAAAGACACAACACCTATTGTCCTCCAGGGTGCCCAATTCTCTTTAATATTTAATTAAGTTAACCATCTGAAGCCTTTTTGACGGCCAGCACATTTTGGAGTATGCCAATGAACCTACATTGTAAAACCAGATCTATTCACAACCGGTTATAGGTGTATATTAAAACCTATTACTGTATTATACTACCACATCATAACCATATTTATATAAAATCCTGCATATCGCTCAAATACAGTTTTTAGAAACTGCATATAACAATTACAGCAATGTCCTCTTGTTCTCGGTCAAACCATTTGAGTGGTGTTGGCATGCGGTGGTTTTGGTTCTTACACTGCCCCTTTAAGGATCTTATTCAAATTAGGCACGAGTGATTTATTACCAACAAGTTAGACACTGCATTTTAAAAGGTGTTGGAGGACTTCCTGCAGCTGGTAACATTGACTTGTCTGACCTCTATATAACTCGATGGTGCTAGAGGAAGTACAAACTGGTCTTGCCTCACTTCTCCTCTCTTGCTATACAGTCATTTTGCCTTTGAGATGTAACGACTTTGTTTCTTGTTTTAGTAAGTCAGTCTGTTCAGGTTTAATCAAACCACTGACTGAGTATTCTTTCTTACTTCGTTTCATATGTGCGTCCTGCTCGGACGTCTACATTAAAATGTAACCACTACTAAATGAAGGCCTGCCCGAGGCTGCTTACAATTTAATGAATTGGATGATGATGGCAAAGTGCAACAGTGATGTTTTCCAACCTCTTAACGGGACACTACGGTAGTTACCAAAACTAGTGTGTATAGTCAGTCCCTGCAGACTTTATAATGTAAAAACTGCCTTTTTCGGAGAAAAGGCAGTGTTTACATTGCTGGCTAGTAACAGGTCTAGTGGCAGTCACTCAGACGGCAACTAGAGGTGCTTACTGGGTTAGCATCCCCGCTCTGCATGGAGACACTGAACGCTCCCCGTAGAGATGCAGTGATTCAATGTATCTCTATGAGGAGATGGCGATTGGCACAGCGTGGCATTTTACTGCAAATGTGCAATAGCCTCCCAATGCTTTCCTACAGGAAAGAATTTGATTGGCTGAGATCATCAAGATTGATTATCTCAGCCATGGAGGCGAGGCTAGCCAAGGCGAGATCGGTGGGACATGGGAGAAAAGGGTAAGTTCAATACCTTTTCAGAGATATCTAAGTGGGGATGGGGAGCCAAACAGTTAGTTTAACACTTATAGTGGTTTTAGACACAGCATAGAAAGCAATCAGCCACTGAAAGTTTTATAATCTGATTACTACAGTTATAGCTAATAGAGAGTCTGCGCTAAGCCCATGCTTCATTATCTCCTGAGCAAAACCAGCAATATAATGTTATTTCATATGTGAAGCATGGTTACATGCTGGATTCAAATATACTTAAATGGGACTAATTCGCCTTAACTATTTACTTGGCACTGAACGCACCCTTGTTTTACTCAGAATGGATGATCAGAGAATGGAGCAATGAGTAGCTAAAGCGATACATTAATTCTACCTGTTCAAGATCTGTTTCACGGAAGCACAGTGATGGCACATATTTAGGGCCGTGACATAGCTCACGTTGGGGATGGACAGATAGAAACGGAGCTCATCCTGCTTGTGTCCAGTCACTTGTGTTGGCACGGTTATAGCTGCGTGCTTCCTCTGCTCCAGCAATACCAGTTCCTTTAGCAGACCAGCGGTTTCTTCCTGGCTGGAACTGAAGAGGATTTGCACCCCGACATCGATTAGTGCTGACAATGTACTGTCGTAATACTTTGTTCTTTGAAATGGCCGCGTTGTTTCTCCTGGAAGGAGAAAGAAAAGACAGATTAAAATCATTTTCTTAATATGATGAAAGCCATGATTACATGGACTAAAAACCTATATGTACACAGACAAATCTATACCACGTCTGTCCCTCTTCATTATTTTAACTAGTAGATTCTGCTTTCACACTGTACAGTGATGACAATATCGGATCCATCTCAATGGTTTAACCGGAGAACTCCGTGTGGGAGGCAGTGAAAATTCCTATAGGTGTACCTCAGAGGCACTCAGCCTATCACTGCCTGACATGACTTGGCGTAGGGCACACAGTCATTTTGGGATAGACACTGCATCCCTAACATAGAGTAAGATGTTAGGATAATGTTCTGACAAGGATAGTGGAGTTGGTGGCTGTGGACTCCAGGCACCAATATCACTTCAAAAATGGTTATGATGCTGTATTGTGCCTTTAACTCAAACCTAACCCACAGCGTTGATCTATTGAGGTTTTGGATTTCTTCAACACTAAGAACCCACCTGGCTTGACGCGATCCTTTTCCAAAATCAGACAAACCCTCTCAAACAGATTCTGCAAGTGCTTCACGCGCTCCACCAGCTTGCTCCTATTGGAACTGTTTGAGAACTCGGACTGGAACTTCCTCTCCACCGCTAAGCGGTTGCTCACAATGTAGTCACAGCCCCTAAGTGAGCAAACCTCCACATTCACTCCATGTGTGGTTTTCAGGCAGGAGATGACCTCTGATCCAGAAGAGATTTCCCGACTGTCTGCAAGGATGACTGGGACTTGAGAACTTGTGGTGGATCCATGGCAGAGATTCATCCCGGCTGAGGAACTGGAAGACTGAAGGCAAGAAAATACCTTTAAATTTGTCATAACCAATTAAAATAGTTTTGCAAAGTTATATATAACATGTAGAGATTTTTTTTCTACTATGCAGGGGAGTTTGATTAAAACAGCTAGCATAAACAGCAAAATACAATGTCAATTATAACATACTTTACACGCAGAGTCTGTTTTATCATTGGATGTCCCAACTTTCATGCAGCTAAGTGAAGTTGTAGAAAAGTCCAATTCTTCTGACGTTGCAGCTTTGAGATTAATCCGCACTTGGCATCTGTCCCTCAGAGGCACTTTGATTGCATCCTTCAATGGAGTATTAAAATTGTTTTCAGAGGAGGAACAGCCTAATGGGAGCTTGGTAGGAACTGAAAAGTTCCCTGCTCCTAGAGGGGTGGAGGTGGCTAGCTTTCTGGGTGTTTGTCCAGTTTCTTCCTCGCTAGAATCATGAAGAATGATTCTTGTTCTCTTTTTTACAGGTGGTTTCTCAATATTTTGTCTTGACTGGCCGCTCTTGAGGTTTACTCTGCGCCTGGTGCGGTATTGTTTTCTCCCATCAACAAAGCTATCCTGCTGGAGAAGATCCAAATCAGCCTCCACTTCTTCCTCACTCGAGCTCTCCTCTTCTTTTTGCTCCTGGTCATCCGCAACGCAGAAACTGTCTTCCATGTAGCTCTCATCCTGCTCTGGGACCTGAGGGAACATTGAAATAACAGAATGTGATGATTATTCACTGTTCATTTGATGTCTATTAGTCACAGAAGACAATGTCGGCAGCAGTAATAAACATTTTCTTTGAGTTGTCTTATATATCCACTGGTAACTCCAGTAAGTTGGCCACTTGGAGTATCCCTTTAAATTACAGTAATTTGATAAACTACAACAATTTTAGCTCAATGGAGCAGTTTTGGTGTATATATATCATGCCCCTGCAGTCTCACTGCTCAATTTTCTGTCATTTAGGAGTTAATTTGTTTGTTTATGCAGTCCTAGCCAAACCTCCCTTGACTGTGACTCACACAGCCTACATGGGGAGGATTTCATTGTCAATCAAATCTTATAGCACAGTGTGTTTACTTTAGAAGTTTTCATCTTCTGCTCTGTTAATTGAACCTTAATCATACACAGGAGGCTCCTGCTGTCTCCATGACATGCTAAATTAAACAGACTGTACAATAAGATGTTAAAATATTAGGAGTGAGTCACAGCCAGGACAGGTATGACTAGGGCGGTATAATCAAAGTGATTTAACTCCTAAATGGTAGAGAATTGAGCTGCAAGACTGCCGGGGTATGATCTATACACCAAAACTGCTTCATTAAGCAAAGTTGCATTGGTGCTTAGAATGTCTATTTAAAATTCATGGTAAGCTTTTAGGATTTTTTTTTTTTTTTTGACAATCTCGTTTTTATTAGTATTACTTATTAATTTAAGGTAATGAATACAGAACAGAACATAGTACAAAAAGAAAATCCCAGGCACTCAATTACGTGATGGTTGCGTCTTGCGGTTGCCTCGGTACCCGAGTGCCGCGTCCCCCTTCCACCTCTGCTAGGACTCCCCCTCCTGCTCCCCAACTCGCCCCCTTCCACCCCACCCCCCTTACCCCCGCAACCGGCTTCTATACGGTGATATGTAATACCAAATCCAGTATACGAGCGTTAGTTTGCTGCCCATCGCACCCCCGCTCGTTTCACTGTGGCTAGTGTTTCTAAGGTTCTTTGCCTTATGTATCCCTACTCCAAGCGTCAGGGCCTGTGTCGCCTGAGGATTTTGGTTTTTTTAAATAAGGGATTTTTATCAACATGGAGGGCTATGGTGGAAACAGATTGTATATGCATTTTAACTCATTAAGGCCCCAAAATATTCCAAAATTAGAGGAGTGTAAATCTAAGACCAAATTTTAAAATAACTCTAAAAAAGACAGTTAAATTATACGGCAATAAGAGCAACTAGCATACTGTAAAGCTGATAGGAGAGTGTTAAACCCGTTACTACGTACCTGGGAGAAAATAGCCATATTTGTTTTCTTTCTGTCCACCATTTTAAACCGGTTTCCAAGAGCTGGGCTACGTAAAGACTTTAGATATATTGCATGCATCTCAGGATCTAAGAAAAAGGGTCAGACCAGGAAAAAAAAAGAAAAAGAAAAATTCTATTAAAACCTACCGGTACATCATGGCCATGATCACAATAACAACATTCGATAACAAGATGCTCATGGCTGCCAAGAAGTCCATAACTGTGTCTTCATGATAACAATAACATTGTGAACTTCTCAGCAACATTTTCATTCTTTGCTTGGTTAAAAATATTCCCAGGCTTTACGCTGACCGCTCAAGAAGACAAATCAACCCATTAACAGAACCATTGAAAGTCTTACTGAACTGAAACAAAAATAAATCAATCAAATCATTGCGAAGACGACAAATTACAGTTTTCTAATTCCAATGCTATAGTCTTCCGTTAATATATTTATTTCCTTTTCATGCATTATAGTTCACTTTTTTTGTTCAAGTTATGAAAAACAAAAACCTATCACCTACCCGACAGGTTAACAAACAGAAAGTCAGAATAAAATTAAGGCCAAAATCCAAAAAACTAGGAGCATCTGGCCACAGTAAGCTGCCTCCAGCAGCAGAGAGCGAGTTAGTGGGTTTATACTGCCTTTCTGTGCTGCTATGAGTTTGTTAGTCTAACTTTAACTATTTCTTTGGTGCTGGGTGGTTTTCAAACCTTGTGTTAGAGTGTTGTCATTCAGAAAGTCTACAATGGATGTATCTTGTTCATTTTCAGATGCGTCATTTTCATCAGAGGAAACCAATTCTCCTCCTGAGGACAGCTCTGCCTGGTCATCAAAAAATTCTCTTGCATAGCCCTATGGAAAAAGAGGATTATGAGCTTCACACAGACACCAGCACTAATACATAGCAAGACCCATTGTAATTGTGGCATATCACCATACATGATTTGGGCTAACTGAGGGACTGCCAGCTTATTACCCACAAAGACAATTTTACTACAAGAAACTCCACTTACGTTAATTAATAGAAAGTAATTAATTGAACAAGAATGTAATGTAATTTAATGAGACTTATCGAGAGTCATCTTAAAAATCCCCAGATGTGGCCAAAACACTGATGGTGATATTTGTTGTGAAACAGGATAAAACCAACCACAATTTCATAAAAATACAATAAATTACTGTTGAGCATAAAAAAAAAAAAATTAACTTTAAAAAAAAAAAAAAAAGCAAAATCAGCATATAGCAGCTGTGGTGCCTTTACATTTCTGATTTGAAGAGAATTGCTCTTTGGTGCATTCTATTTAATAGCCTTCCTTTTTTGTGATGCCAACAATTAGCCAAATTGTTAACTGAGCAACACACTGGCAATTTGCAGATGAGATCTATGATTATCATGTGGAAGGATGGAGGGGAGTTAAAACAAAATAAAAAGTAGTTTGGATATGGTTTTAACCACAATTTATTGAGAAGTAGCCCCTCAAAAATAAGTTTTGGTTACCAACGGGGGCCCTGGTGATTCTTCAGATACCTCACTTGAGCACTTTGGGGTGCAAATGCCCGAGAAGTCTGGCCACGGCCTGCAGGTGATGGAACTGAGGAGAGACGGCTGCTTTCCTCGTACATACATCAGCGGACCCAGACACCATGCTCCCCCACTCCCCCCCAGTCCAAGCCTGGGAGGCAGCCCGGCTATACAAGAGGCAGAAGATGGGCCGACACATTTGACGCCACGTGCACTCCAACCCACTGTGGGGAAGCGCCCGATATCCTAGCAAGGCTGGCAAGCACCTTCGATGCCTTCTGAAGGAAATTGGCACACAGATTAAAGAAAGCTGCAACACACACAGCGGACGACTGCTTGCCTGATATGCCCTCTCCAAGCTCCCGAAGCAGACATGCAGTCCCCAGACCGAAGCATGATGGCATCAGGCGTCGGAGAAAGGGACGTCTCCCACCCGCACACAAACCTACTTGACAGCGCAAAAATAAGACCCTCCGCAAGTACTTGCTTCCCCGCAAAGCAGCCGGCAGCAACAAAGACAGCGGGCTAACACCAGAGCTCCTGCCCTCTTTGAGGTACCGGGGGGAACCCTGACTGGGATGAGAGACCTAAACTGCCAGGGCTCCTCAAGCTATGACTGCCCGCAATATTCCTCCTGGCTACAGAACTTGACACATCCTCTGGCTGGCATAGGTTAACCTGGGCCTACAGGACACATTGGCCATCCAACTTACCCTCTGGGGATATCTGGGCCAAGTCCGCCTACCTCACCAGCTCTTATGCCGCTGTTCAGGCTACATACCCACTCCGCGACTAACACTCTATCCCTCTGTCTGGCTTCAGGCCTCCTAGGGGACTTATCTTGTTCTACGCTTATGCTATACGCTTCACACCTTGGTTTTTTTTCTTCTTTTTTATTAGCCAAGCTCATTACTTGACACTTACTTAAAGCCTAGGTTACTAAACTGCATATATTGGCTATATGTCTTAGGTGCATAGAATGCTAACTACAATAACAGTGCAACGTTTTATCTCGCAACATTTTCTAGCCATACCACTCAAGACACTCTTATAATTGTCTGCTAAAATGTCTTTACAAACTGCCATGTTTTATGATTAACATACTAACCCTGGCACCTTCATGCATGACACACGTGATTGTTCGTATTATTGTTCTTTAACCAAGTTGAGACCTCTAGTTTAGCCTGTGTATTAAATACCATAAAAACGTGCATCTTTCTCACATGCTATGACACTGTATCTAGATGTATGTACCAAGTGATTGTTACTGCGGTCGTAGCATAACAAGCTGGTATGTCTATCTATGCACTATGAAAAAAAAAGAATAATAATAAAAAAAAAAAGTTCTGCCTGCAGCCAATCCTCCCTCTTGCAATGTCATTCCCCTTAAACTTCGGTAAGACAGGCTATGTAAAGGATATCGGGTGGGGGGGAGAAGGGGGATGGTTGGTGTTAGGGGGACAATCCCGCCATGGGGAGTCTGCTGCCAGCATACCAAGACGTTAACATTAGCCACCCTGGAACCCTTGTTCAGATGCCTGGCTTATGATGCCGGATGTAAAGTTACACCTCTGGCATCAAAGGCCATTAACCTTTGAAATACTGCACATACAGAGTTAAAGACAGACTTCAAGTACCATGCCCACTTCAAGTCACTGAAGTTGTCCTGGTGTTTGGAGTAACCATTAGTTTTAAAAAAAATTATATTTTTGAGGTGCTATTCCTTAAAGGGACACTATAGGAACCCAGACCCCTTTATCTACAATGAAGTGGTTTGGGCGCCATGAACCCCCAAATGTAATCCTGTAGCGTAAAACATTCTGCAGGAACAGCAATGTTTTCATAGTAGGGTTTAAAGTCTCTAGTTACCATCACTCAGAAGGCCACGAGAGGTGCTTTTTCTGTAATTGCTGAGTAAAACCCTGCGGTTTCTATCAGATGGGCTCGTAGAGCGGCATTTTGATGTGCATGCGCACTAGCCACCAATGCTTTCCCTATGACCTTGCTGATCACAGACAAGGAGGTGGGATGTCAGCGTGTAGACCAGCGCTGTGAGAGAAAAGGTAAACAAACATTTTTTACTTCCTTCAGGTGGGGGCCGGAACCTAAACTGCTACCAGGGCAATATGAATACAAATGTGTATTATTAACATTCTAGTATTCCTTTACTTTTGCATTGCTCGTATAGCCCAGTCTTTATTGATTACTGAAAGTTCACTTACATTCTGTCAGTATAATGTATTTCCATGAAATCACGCCACATTTATACACTCAGAGTTTCGCTTTGCCATTAACCTTCTAGTAATTGTAACATTAAGTACATGCTATTACAATTACAAAATAAAGACAATTTGTTAATTTTGGGTATAATAAATAAATATATATACACACACACATTTCTGAGTCCTGTGAGTGCTCTCCATCAAGACAGCGTTTATTCTAAGGTCGGAGATTGCACCTAGACAATAAAAAGACCGGGAGCAGTGAGTGCAGGACACGTGGAATATATATATATATATATATATATATATATATATATATATACATATACACACACACACACACACACACACACACACATATATATATATATATACACACACACACACACACACATATATATATATATACATACACACACACACACACACATACACACATATCCAAGTAGTATAGAGATAGCACTTTGTAACTACAAAGCACCGGCAAAAGACAAGTAAGTTGGAGTGTAAGATTGCTTGTGTGTGTGTATATATATATATATATATATATATATATATATATATATATATATATATATATATATATATATATATATATATATATATATATATATATATATATATACACACATACATATATATATATATACACATACATATACACACACATATATACATATACATATACACACACACACACACACACACACCTGTAAAAATGGGGGGGGGGGGGAAATGCACAAAAGCACTTTTACATTACTTTTATGTCCATAATCGGGTTTTTAACCATTAGGTTGTAATTTTTGATTCATAGTGTTTTAGAAAATTGTTTTTCTTCTTTCCCTCAAAGGATAATCTGTTTTTGCTGTTTGAATGAAAAGCTTTTTTTCGCAGAGCCGGGGGTTGTCGGCATCTTTTCACATTATGACATTGGAAAGAACAATAAGCCCTAACCGGCTTTTTGTTTGGAGGGGCTGCAAGGACACATTCTCTCCCACCATTCAACGCTCTTCAAATCCCAAGCTTTGCAAAGCACAGAAGAGAACACTTGTGCGTTATCTGAAGAAAGCAATGCTGTTGCTAAGAAACATTCTGCCTTTGATTACATTTTATCTTTATAAATGGTCTATATTTTGTATGTGATAAACTTCACTTAAAGCTACACAATGTCAAATATAACAGCTGTTACAGTATAAAAAGAACAAACACAGAATGAACAGAAGGGGCTGGCAGAAAGGTACAAATTGCACTTTGTGTAACAGTTTTGAGCCTCCATATTTTCCAATTCCTCACATTAATGAAAGCCGTATGCTTACAGGATTCCTGGGGGATAATGAAATGACAGCTCGGCAAATCAAAGCAGAACTATTTATGCCTCGTAACATGACAAAGCAGATCTGACAATCCAGACTGCTGCTGCACCCTTCATAGACATCACCCCACGTTTGTCGTAGCCCAGACAGAAGTTTAATGGTAATTCTACGATGAACAGAGCAGCCCAACCTCTAAAGCAATCCTCAGCTGGTCTGGCGCCACAAGTGACACCACACACAGGCAGCCTGCATGCTGACTCTGTGCAAACACTTCAAGGGTAAAAATTAAAAGTGAATTTCAAATTTAAGGTCAACATTTTCTTCACCAAGATAAATGACCTCTAGGGACTAGAGATATAGAAAAAATGGCTAAATCAGCCATGCTTTCACTTCATCCACTCTGGCCTTAAATTTAAATTCTTACATTAGTAAATAGCCATGCTTGGCTTATTGGGGACAACATCTATAGCCCCCAACCACCATAAACATTACTGTACGGCACACAATAGGCTTCTGTGAAGTCCCTTTAATAAATGGGTCTCATTTTTCTGTGTCAGATTTGTTTCTGTATGGACTAGAGGTTTAGCAAGTGTGTAAGAATTAGACACAGAGTGAGACTCCTCTAATAGGCTTGCTTTGGAGTTGACAAGAGAGCTTACACAATGTTTTGCTTTGGCTTGTTTGTACATTGTTTCTTAATAACGTAGACCCTGCAGCCGAGCAATAGTGATGGGAATGTGAACATGGGGCTAAGGGGATTTAGCTACTATAGACCTGAATGACACGCCTTGAAAAATCAGACCTTTTCCCGACATCACATACACAGGTTTAGTAGGGCACTTTTAAACACAAACCCATACTTACAGTTCTAAAGACGCGTTTTCGTTTCTTCACCACGGGAATTGGTGAATCAAAGTCACAGTCACTGCTGCCAATCTTGGGAAAACAAATTAGGAACAAATATTTAAAGATAAAACAATAAAAACAAAAGACACAACAAAAACACAAAATGTGTCTAGAAGAGAGTTTAGAACATACTTATAATGGAATATGTATTCCCCCCCCCCCCCACACACACAAATTACCTCTGGGGACTTGAGCACATTGATTTTGGTTAATTTTCTTTTTCTTCTGAAAACCACAGAGTCTTCGCTTTCGGAACTGCTTCCTACTGAGACGTAGCAAACATTACAGTGAGCATGGCGACGCACAAAATAAAGTAAAACAGACATCGATTACAATGGAAAACAAATTGCATCTAATTTAGTTTTACAACAAGGCTTTATTTGTCTATAATTTTGTTTCCTTAAAAGCTGAATTCTTCATTTAAAAAATAAAAAATACTAATAATAATTTACAGTTCATACAGTTTTATCCAACACGTATCCTAGTCAACCTGATTTCTTCCCCCTTTACAGTCAGTAATATTTTACATACAGAGAGGTTAACATTCTAGATTCCAGACAATCCATAACAGTCACATCTTTCCATGGAGCAATCCAATGACTCAAAGTATCAAATTCACTTAAATGGTAACCTAAAGCACCATTAAGGAGCAGAGAGTACCCTGCATCTACTCTTATAACTGCAACAATATAAACTAAAATAATCACACCCAGATTCTACAAGAGTGACCCCGATCTGGCCGTCAGACAGCTGGTATGCTCAGTTACGGCAACTCGTGTCAGTTTTGTCTAACTTGCGCGTGCAAGTAGACAGGACCTTTCTCCTTGCTAGAAAAGTTAGCAATGAGCGTGCACATACGTGAGCAGAAACGTTGGTTGAGATATTTGTTCCTCACACTCAGTTAAGGTCCAAGTAAAGCATTAAAAGAGTCATTGTCTGTGCCTGGTACAGATTCCTATTTAGCGCTATATCGCTGCTGACTAGTGGACCCGCTTTCCTGGTTAGAGAAGCTGCAGTCTACCTCTAAGCTGTGCAGCTTTAGGAACTTGGTAAATGTTTTTAATTCCAGACTGCCAAACTGTTCCTTTAATTCCTCCCTCTGACAAGGCTTCTAGGTACAGCTACAAACTATTCTGATCTCGTGTTGTCCTAATTAAACACTGACTTGTAAACAAACAGTGCCAGTGTTATGGAACCAAAACCACTTTAATAAGCTGAACTGGTTATGGTTCCTCAAAATTTTGCAAACAGTCTTAACATCAAAGTGGTCTCCCCTACACTGGGATACACTGTCTCCATAGTGAACGATTCATTGCAACTTTGGGTCTACTTGTTCTTACCTCTAACGACCCACTAAAATGACATGGGGGCCCATTGAGCCTTTTCCATTGGCATTTTCACTGTTCTATAAAAACTACAATTAAAACGGATAGTAGCAGTGGTGAACATAGGGAAGTGTGTTTTACAGATACATATTATATAGTTAGATGGGTTAGTATGTTACCTTCTATAACATCTGTCCTGCTCTCCTTGGGGGGAGTGTGAGACATGTTGTTCTTGCAATCAGCATCTGATCCACGTTTTGGAGACGCTTCACATTCTGAAAGGCTATGGTCAACTGAGAATCCAAGATTAAAATTAATAGAAAACATCTTCAGAACAGTCATATGCCGAAGACAAAAACTCATCGGTGGAAAGCTCCTAGAGGCTGTGTCTTATAGTCACTATTCTCAAAAACACTGTTTTTCTTTGCAAAGCTGCCCAGGCAGTGTCTATGCCTTGAAATTTCTTCATTAAGATGGTGTGCTTTTAATGCATAGACTGTCCTTTTAACTAAATAAAAAGGAAGGTATGGTGCTAGGAGGTCCCTGGCGCTGGCTTACCTTTAGGGGTTAAACAGTTCACGAATGGTTTAACCATGAAGTCTGTGCATCAGTGCCAGTCCGTGGTGCCCCCCTGTCCTTCCCCTTTCTGAAATTCTTTATAACTGAAGGCTCTGGCAACATCGAGCAGTGGCATCGCTGACTGACTTAGAGAGGCTAGCAGACACTCTAAACCAGTGAGAAGCTCGCCATTCATTTTAAATAAAATCCTTCTGTTAAGATTTTTAGAAAGTGTAATAGCAGGGGGGCAGAGCAGAACAGCACAGACTTTGTAGTTAAATTTTTGAGAACTGTTAAACCCCTAGAGATAAGCCAGTGCCAGTGGCCTCCTGGCACCATAACAACTTAATTTCTATGAATTTGTTATGGTGCCCAAACAGTTCCTTCAATTCTTCCCACTGACAAGGGTTCTAGGTACAGCTACAAATTATTCTGATTCTTGTTGACACAATGAAACACTGACGTGTAAATAAATAGGGGCACAGTGCTCTAAAACTGAAACCACTTCAAGAAGCTGAAGTCGTAATGGTCATAGTATCAAAGTAGTCTCCACTACACTGGTAAACAATATGCCTCCATAGTAAACAATTCATGGTAGGCAGTTACCTTGGGCCCGCTTGTCCTTACCTCTGACAACCCACTAAAAACGTTATGGGGGCCCACTGAGTCTTATCCCAAAGGCCAAGAATCACTGTTTTATAGGAACTCAAATTAAAATGGATGGTAGTGGTGAACACAGGGAAGTGTTTAAGATATATATCCTAAAGTCAAAGTAAACTTGTTACCTTCTATAACATCCGTCGTGCTCTCCTTGAATGGAGTGTGAGGCAAGTCATTCTCGCAATTCGCATCTGATCCATGTTTCGAAGACGCTTCACTTTCTAAACTGCTATCGTCAACTGAGAATCCAAGATCAAAATTAACAGAAAACATCTCTTCAGAACAGTCATATGCTGAGGACGAGATCTCATTGGTATCACTATCTTGTTCAGACCCATCCTGAAGAATTGATGGATCAAACAGGTTAAAAGTCACACTCGTAGTTTCTATGGTTTTCCCCTGTCCACTGTTTGAATTCTCTTGGACAATGTCACAAAAAGGATCATCTTCAAACAGCTCAGAGCTGATGTCTTGGTGGTCAGGCAAAGTGACTCTGGTTGGAGAAGCTGCATCATCTTCCAGCAGATGATCCACAGACAGAGATGGAGAAAGTGTAGATTTAGGGGAGAAATCCAACTGCTCATTGTCACATTCAAAGATGTGATCCCATTCTGGGTCATTTTCATCATCTTCAGGTTCTTTAGAGATAATATTTTTAATACGAGTCTCTTGATTGGGCATGTCTTCACAGTAAGCTGAAACTATTTTACTTTCACACAAAGGCTTTTCAAACTCTGGTGTTAACACAACCAGATTTCTATGAATTTCCACTGCAATATCAGAAGATATTACATCACTTAAATAATCCTGCATGGACTGGTCAGGTTTATTCTTTAATTTTGGAATATCAGTGGTGACCTTTATAGGTGTAAGTGATTCAAGATGCTCTCTTTTCAAATCAGGAAAAATACTTTGTGCAGCACTAGTAAATTCTGCTATATCAAAGTCATCAAGACTACTTAAAGGCGGGGGAGAACGGGATAAAAACTGTTTTGTTCGTGATAAAATATCCTGGCACTCATGTTGCCGATCAGCAAGAAATTCAGTAAACACAAAATCATTAGAAGGTGTCGGAGGACCATAGGACATACTTGAAAATGCAGATGAATTGTCATTAAAACACTGAAAGCCAGAGTCAAATGTGTGTGATTTGGACTGCACATCTTCTGTGCAAGGAGACAATTTGCTGTTTTTTTTATCAGATACAGAACTGGTCTTAGGTCTGGAGAGCGGTGCGTCAATGCCTTCGCCATTAAAAGGATCTAATGCTGGAAATTCAGATGGCATGAGTGGTCCTTCCAAAATAGTAGGTGGAGACACTGAATCGGCAGGATCTGGACTTAAAGCAACAGACAAATGGGATCTTGAGATGGGCTTCAGACTAGTAGATGTTGACTTTACGCTGCACTTAAAATCTGACTCTGTCTCAACTGATGAATGTGGGGCGTCCCTCAAAGTTGTTGTAGAAGGTACTAGATGTTTTGGGCTATTAGTGGAGGAGTGGGTGAGGTGGGACTTGGCTGGCACTTTCTTCATCCCAACATCTTCCTTGTGCAAGTAAGACTTCATTTCCAAATCATAACTGCACACACCCTGAAATGATTTCAAACAAAATAGAAATGGTTCCCAGTATGAACAGTGAGTAGCAAAACAACAAAAAAAGCAAATAACCCAAACAAAACTACCGATATTAAAATGACTATTGTTGATGCCCTGCAATTTAAAGTGATGATCTTGTGGACAGCATAATTTCACTTTTTTCTTCTTTTTATAGAAAGGCAAAAAAACACCAGAACGCAAAATAACACAAAGATTTATCAAATTCTTCTACTTTTTAAGGGAAGACATTTTTTTGCTAAATATTCTTATCCACCTTACATCGATCACAATAGTATTACATAACAAACAAAATTAAAATTAAAATAAAGTTCTCGTAAGGCCTGAGTCAAATATGTTTCTATATCTAGTCAACGCATTTCCCTTTTAATCTCAAATAATCTTGTATTTATTTTTTTTCCTGCAGACAAAAGGCCTGCTTTTTGTGGATTTTGCACACAGAGCTTCAGCAGAACTCCAAAAACGAAGGAACAAGACAACACGTGTGGTTAACCCTCTTAATTCACTGCACATTTCTATCGGCTAGTTACTTGTCATGTCTTTAAATCAATTTGTGATTTTTGATTACACCCCTCCACCGCTCCCTTTGGGGTTATAGGAAACATTAATGCACAATTCACCAGTGTCAATCATGGAAACATTAGTTTAATAACTATTAGAATTTCTAAAAGATGCAGCAACATTATAATCGTACATAATATGGTAAATATAGATGCCGCTTCGGGCTGCTTTATAAACCGTCTGTTCAAAACATTCTGTAAATTACCAGCTATCATGAAAAGAGACAGGTTGTACATTAGTAAATCATACGAATAAGAGAGAGAAAATGTTTGCAACCATTATAAAGATCTGTCCTCTGCCTCATTAGTGAAACGAGTTAATGAAAATAAGAGGTCATGATCAATTTTCTTTCAAAATGAGGTCATTACGAGATAATATAAAAGTGTTTTGGTGGGAATGGGGTTTTGTATGTTTCACCTTCAAACAATAGCGCTTTTGTCTGTGAGGCGACTTTTGTGTACAGTGAGAATGGGCAGAATGGAGCTTTTTTGGCAGTATATGGAAGGGAAGCAGAAAAGGCTCCCAACACAATTACAGAGAAATTTCAAGACTTTTAAAGATCTTTAATCCTATTTATGAAAGGTGAATGTGATGGACTTGGCAAATAAACATAAAGTCTCTAAACAAACAAACAAAAAGACAATGTCAACGTATACGATGGTGTTTCCAGCAAATGTAACAGCTGAATAATAGAAGATGCTTCCTAGCTACCAAACAGAGAATTAACCATATATTTATATACTGCATGAACAACATCAAACTTTACCTGCCCCTATTAAAACAGATTCCTGGTTTGGTTTTTGCAGACAGCCACAAACCTTATATCAGCTTTTTGTTTTACTTTGTTTTTAACTGGGTACTTTAGTAAAAAAACAAAACAAAAAAAAACACTTAAATATTTGCTGCCATTAAAAATGCTTAGCCGGTATTTATTATCTGTTACCTCTTCAAGTCTCATCAACTCAATCATTTCCATGGTTGCAGTGAAATGTTTGCATCTGTCTGAGTGATCTACGAACTCTGTGGGAAGGGACTGGTTCTGCCATAACCGCCATTCGGTAAGGGAGAGCTTGTGGACATTTCCAGGTGGGGGATCAGGCTCCTCCTGAATCACAGTAGTAAAGATTGACAAAGTTAACATTAGAATGAGAAGAAGAAAAAAGTAGATATTAAATACATATTTTGAATTTAAAGGAACACTCAAAACACCTATTCCCCTTTTACAGATCAACCTTGTTACATTCCCCTGGCTTTCAATCAGACAGCCAGTCCTGTTATTTCCTGGTTGTTTAGTAGCTCAGTGGAGCTAAACTCAAGAGGCAGCAATTACCCAGAGCACCTGCCTTTCAAAGACTTCTCATTGAGCTGCATTGGGAAGTCTGTGATTGTCCAGCAACAGAAAGTCAGGGCTGGGTTAGAAGGGGAGGGTTTGCAAAAGCTTCAGAAAAGAAATCTGGCACGCACCCCAGTGCACCAATTCAGAGGCTTCTCAATGAGAAATTCTCTGCTGGGGAAAAGGCTACAGTTCATAAGAATGAATACATGTATTAAAAAAATGCATACATGTATTCACTGGGAGTATATCTTCTAAACAGTGATTTAGAGTGTCCCTTTAATATTTATACTAGAGCTGAGTAGATGAATGGTGTGGGCTCAAGGAATTTATGGTCCTGGTTCTATCATGCTCAACAAGGCATATATGCATAAAGTGTTCTTTATTTATTACTGGCATTTATAAAGCGCCAACGCATTCCGCAGTGCTGCACAATTAGGAATTATCCACAGGAATAGCAAGCTTTTAATTTTTTTCCCCCAGAAGAGCAATATTCTTATCTCACTAAGCGATTAGATTTTTACTGGATCGCAATTCTTTAAAAGCTGAAAGGCTAATTGTAATGATACAATGATATAATTAATTTATTTCACAGAATAATAATAATAAAAAATAAAAAAGCTCCATAGGAGACACGCATAGAGTAATGAGAAGAACGTGAATGACGAGCTTGTAACGCCAAGCGTGAATGGACTTACTGGCGTATCATCAGCTGCTTTGAAGGATTCAAATCTAGATCTTGGTAGCAAAACATCCGTAATTCCATCAGATTCATTTAATCGGTATAAACTGCTCCAAGTCTCAAATTCTCTGTGTGTCAAAGGCCAGCCTTCTTTTAGGGAATCTGGTAAAACGTTATGGACAATAGTTCTAGTTAACTAGCATACACAACTCATTACAAGTTTATTTTTAAAAAGTTTCATTAAATATAATGTTTCTAAAATGCCCACTTATATACCCCCCACAGTGCAGACACACGGCAACAGTGGCTATGGTAAATACCGTTTTGATCGAACAGAGATAATCTGTGGTGTCCGAGGCTTGAACGTTTGCCATTGGAGAGAGGTGGGACGCTGTCTTTGTTTTCATATGTTCCCTGTGTGATGAACATCTTGTGCACCTTAGGGTTTAAACCTTCAGGAACCATGCGAGGGCTCTGAGAACAGAGCTGAAACGCTTTGTTATTCCCCAATACTGCTTTGTAGATGCTTTTCTTATTGCTCTGACTTTGGTTATATGTCTGCCATGAGAAAGGAAATGCAAATAAGAAACCAGGAAATGGAATTCTCTCCCGAGATGTTGTTTTATCAAATTCAGCAAAGATCTTTAAAATGGTTCTAGATACTTTTTGGGAAAAAGCAGAGCATTTATTGCTATAATACTCGTTATTAACTAAAAATCCATAAACATGCATATATGAACCCATACTCTGGGCTTTGTGAGCAAGCTGCACCGAGGTAACTAGACTCTCAGTTACAGGGGATTCCATTAACAATCAAACGAAAGGGCCGTCCATCTTTTAATTCATGGTTAAAAACAAATAAGAGTATTTGTTCTATTTTGGTGGATCGCTATTTAACTGAAAGCTCTTTGTGTCGGGTGTAGCACACTTGTTGAAGCAGTTTATATTACTTAATATTCCGGATATTATTCGCTTTTTCATTTTTCATAAAGATTGCTTTTTGCAGAAGAATTATACATTTTTCCACCAAGCAGGATTTTTGCAGTGTTTTGGAACTTGATTTTCTAATTAAAACATCTATAATTATATCAGAGTGAGCTCTACGTATTTGCTGGATCTATGTAGCTGCAATAATTGCCATCACAGTGGCACCTCTACCACCAGAAATTATGGAATATCGTTCATTTACACCCCTTTATGAGCCATAGTTTAAATAAAAGGGAAACGGTATGCACCATAACTGCTTCATCTTATTCAAGGGATTATAGTGTCCCACTGGCACAGTCCCTCCATTTACGGTTAAATAGTTTTTAATGTTTCAATGGTAAACAAGAGTTCCTATCAGCGCATCCCCCACTGTGAGGAAGCATTAGCCTGAACAACAATGGGCAGCTGTGATTTCAGTCTTTCACAGAGCCCATTGATGGTAAGAATTGGTATGGCTTGAAGGAAGCATGTTCCAGTGGGGGTTGGGCTCTGGGTGGCCAGGAACACTTATTTACTGTTAAATTACTTGGAAATGTTTAAACACTGAATTGAGGTACACAATCAGGGGACTCATGGCACTATAACCACTTCAATGAGGCAAAATTGTGATAGTATCTACAGTTCCTTTAAAGGAATGTGCACAGGTCGTATCATAATGGTATTAGTGTCATCATATCTATACTGAAATGAAAAAAGTTTTGTGTTAAGATAAAAGGTTGCACAACCACTGAAATATGATATGGAGAAGGTGAGATGAGCAGAACGGCTCTCTTTTTACTTTTCCATTTGCGAATTGGTTTATCTACTAAAAAGAGACCAAGTTTCAACATTTAGGCCAATTACTTGGGTTGGAACAGAAGTCCTGTTGGTGGTGGCTTTATCCTCTCTAAGTTAGCTGAGTAGAAGGGTTCTTGTTTTTACTCTTCTACCCTTTTCAGTCAGAACCAGCAGGTGTCCTCCCTGTCCTCTGAGTTCATCCTACAACCCTCATTACAACTGTTGCTCCCCTTTGTATCCAGGGCTGTATTAACACATGGGCACGCTGGGATGTTGCCCAGGGGCCCCACAGGCTTGCCTACTTTTCAGTATTTTATTCTGGGAGTTTTTTTTCCAGAACCTTCAAACCCTCCTTATTAAAACATTTAGGTGGACTAATCCCCTCAGTATCTGAACATGCGATTTTGTGGTTGCGAATACATAAATTGACCTGATTGAAAACAACGTACCCATACTAATTGTACATAATTCAAAATCCACACGCACAATGATTTAAAAGCAATAAAGCTATAATGAAGTTGATCTAATATTTTTACCAGTCCATGTCAGTTGCCTCCCTCTGCTACCTATTAAACATTTGTGTGGATTAATCTCTGCTGTACAGCATGTTTTTTTATTATTTAAACACGGATTACATAAATATACTATATATAAGCTTCATTGTATTGATAATTTACATTTTCCTTTCTGTGAGTGGTTGTGTAGGGAGGGCCCCAGTGCACTGTTTTGCCCGGGGGCCTGTAATGCTGTCAAGATGACACTGTATCAGATCAATTTGTTCCTACGATTTTCCCCAGTATTTAATACGGTTTATTTCTAATATGATGTTTATACCAGTAGCTGCCATGAGATACTGTATAACTACACATCAACCGAGTCTTTACCCTGCTGGATGTGACATGACGAAACAGGATGTTCAGCCTTGCAGATCCATATCCCCTGAGATTTGTAACCTACTTTATAAGAAATAATTGCTCGTAATTAGCGCCTCTACTCTATATTTCTCTCCAAAAAAGGTCACTTATTGATGACAGCATGAAAGTACCATTTTTTTGGGCACCCTGGGGTATCTAATTGCTGAATAACACAAAGCTGAAGACTTGTCAATGGGGAGATATTGACCAATATCGTAGCGACTGCAAGTAACATATGTCTGTATCAATAAATTTAAGACAGGACAAACTTGCCGCAGTGACTATAGCACACAGATGCTTCGTGCAACCAGTCTTGTATCTTTAACCCCTTAAGGACACATGACATGTGTGACATGTCATGATTCCCTTTTATTCCAGAAGTTTGGTCCTTAAGGGGTTAAAGCAACTAGAAAAATGTGGAATGGAGACTTTAAAAATGAAATACCAATGACCCATGCAAAAAAAAAAAAAAAAAAATGGTCTACATATTAATAGCCCTTTACGTAGTGTTATATTACTTCCAAATATTGGCTTACCCTCTCCTCCCGTCCTTGACCCAGAATGACAACAATTCGGCCTTGGCGTTTTCTCCCTGTTCGACCCATTCTCTGAACAAGACGTATTGGACTCTTTTGGGCATCAAAACAAATGATCAAATCCACTTCACCAATGTCAAGTCCTTCTTCTCCTACACATGTAGAGACTAGAGTATTATATCCTCCTTCACGAAACCGCTTTACAACCTGGTTTAACAGAAGATACAAGAGTACGGTCAACTGGAAATATCTAGCAACGAGATAAGGCTCCAACACAATCTACTAATTCTAGGTCAACAACCACTGAAATGCCTATCGGGCATAGTTGTAAAATAGGATTGCCCATCAATTATAGCCTCAATGGATAGTCAGATGACCCTTGAAAGAGGGTTTGAGAGGCACCACTTTGAATAGTTAATGGTGAACGTTTTGTTCATGTACCTCAAGCTGTTCTTTCTGTGTGAAGCCCTTAATGTTTTTTCCACTGCTTGAGTGTCCAACAAAAGTCATAACGCGAACCATTGGGTGATGTTGGTGTAACATTTTGGCAATCTCCTGGACACTATCCCGGAATGAAGAGAAAATCATAATGCGAGTATCTTCGTGTGTTTGCTTGGAAGTGTTCGGAGCTGGAGAAATCATATGGGTGAGGATGTTAACATTTAAGGCGATACATACATGCGCACAAAAGATTGATGGGGAAAAACACGACACATGTTTGTAGTTTATTCGCTACATTTAATTTGGGAGAATGGACAATGGAATAGCAGACTTTAGGCTACATCGGTTAAGCTGAAGAAATGTTTTCTGCAATTCAGCAATTCATCTTAAAACTTTCCCTTGTCTTGAAATAAAAGGGTTACTCCAAAAACCATGACCACTTCATATGTTCTCAGCAAATAAATGAGAAGCAGTTCAGCAAAAACTATATGTTGTAAACCTGAAGCAGTAGACCTGAGGAGGACCCAGATAAGGAGACAAACCCCCTTTACTGTGCCAGTGTACTCCTCACATCATAACCACTAAAGTGCTATCATGCTTGAAAACTCTTTAGCTTTAATAAACTCTCAACCACAAAATGTGTACACTGCACTGAAATGACTTACAGTGTTCATTATTGAACTTCAAAGGAAAAAAACCCAGGATCAATTAATACCATTCTAATTAGACTCTCTCAACTCCCATAGATAAATGATCGATGAGAACCAGTAATGGGGGTACTTTTTGCACAATTCCAGCCCTACATGACAAAATGGACAAATCATAGCAATTGATTTCCGTGCAATTTTAGCTGCATGAAATTAGCTTTGTTATCTAGGCCAACGCACAGCAGCTCTCGATCAATACCTGCCAGGGATTAATCAAGTAGGAAAACGTCCTTCTGACAAATGCAGCGTACAATACAAGCTATGAAAAAGAAGCAACCACTTCACTAAATGGGCTGAAAGGAATGCCACTTCGATACTGATATGAAGAGTGCAAGGAGTTGCCTTTTTAAATACACAGAACCACTCCCCCCCCCCCCAAAAAAAAAAACAGACTAGACTTTGCACTTGCTACATATTTAACTCCTAGGCATTTTTTGCGACCACCACAATCTGGTGCCTACAGATCCTAATTCAGCACTGGCTGTTAAATATGTGGCCCATTCTATTTTAGAACTGTATCCGTATAGACCAGATTCTTAAGACTGTAGGGCATTTTAAAGAGGAATCTAAAATTAAAATGAACACAAGTTCATTATCTGTCGTCATTACTGAACAATATCAATAGAAATGGGCGAGTATTGCTGGAGAGAGGGGGAGACAAAAAATAAATAAAATGTATGCATGTGCAAAGAATTTTTTTTTTTAATTGAACACATTTTTGAAAGCTTCTTGACATGTGGCGCCCGATGTACACGTGTAACCTTGACCTGTGACCTTGTTAAAAGCTGCTCAGACAATGTAGGAGCTCTACATACAGGGGAAGGGGTTACACGTGGAGAATTTAGATAAAATATAAAAGATTTCAAACTCAACTACACGGAAGAGTCAGAGGAGGGTGTATATTATACAACTGTACAAGGCGTGCTTGTGAGATTTCCAATTTAAGATATCCTCCCTCACCCACCGAGCATCATTCCCATCTAAATGGATTTCAGCTTTCTTTCCAAACAATGCATAAATGACATTGACAAATACCTGCAAAAAGCTGTTTACGCAGATTAGAGGATTTCAGATATAAGCTTTTGAAAAGGTCCATTTCCATCTTTTTATATAAATCTGTATGCAACATCTTCAAACACAGAGGGCTTACGCAGACAGAAAAGGGATGTATTTTTATGGATTTGCATGGAGCGCGCACACAATACATAAATATAATAGAAGTGAGGCCAGTTCTGGTGCTTATAACCTCTACTGAAATGTAAATGAATGAGTGAGTGGGGGCGAGACATTTGACTCGATATTTAAAAAAAAATAAATAAATAAATAAAAAGGATTGACGCTTCTCTATGAGTGTTTTTATAAATGTAACATGCACTGAACAGTATGTATGAAATGTGCATTAATCTATGCTAACACGCAACATATGAAAACCAAAGCAGGGCTGGGTGGTCAACATGCAAGTACTTCTACGTTATCTGAATGGCAGGAAAAGTCCGAGCTGTAGGTGCTGGGAGAGTCTTGCTTTTTTCAAACCATTTGAAGGAAACAATGGGAGAAACTGCACAAAACCCATTTGCATCATAACCGCTACAGTTATCTATAGAACAAGCTTTTAAGACACTTAAGTTTCCATTTAATAAATGGTAAAACTGGATGATCCAAGCAGTTCTCCTCTGGTTTAAAAATCTAAAAGCTGAATAAGTATTGACAAATGAATCAACATTACTCTACATTTGTACAATTAAAGTATTCCTTTTACCACTGGTACGACCATTATGAGGACATTGGCCTTTGATTATTAAGGGAACATTTACTTCCGTTTCCTTCCTAGTAAAATATTTCGTAAATAACTAATTAAAGGAAACCGTTGGTAGATCTATAAATATAATACCCGGCATTTCTATTACTAGACATTGGCCGTACACTTTGCATAATGACCCATTATAATTCTGTTTGAATGCATGAAAACTGCCAAGATTGTTTTACAGGGAAATTGGCCTAAGACAACCAAGGTTCAAGCCCACCCATCTTTACATGACTAGATGTGAACTGTAGAAACCAAACTGCAACAAGTGGTTGATGTGGAATTCATTCACTAAACTGGACGGCGGTGAAACCAAAGTTGCAAAATTTGAACCAAAAAAAAAAACATGGCTACTTTATTAATGGATTTGCCATTCAGTTTATAGGACATACAGCAATGATTTGCTTGCACCTGGTGGAGTTAATTGTAATTTAATGCAGACAGCAAGTGTGGCATTTATTTTACTAAACCAGGATCCTGGACTGAGACAACAAGCTTGTCAATTCTCCAGAATCCATGATTGGTGAAAACAAAACAAAAAAACCAACCACACACATTCTATTCACATTCTTTGTTTTAAAAACAATGCATTAAAAACCTACCATGGCGATCTCCCCAAGATTTAAAATGCTGAACAACAACTTCCTCTAACTTTTTTAACTTCGGGTGGCTGTAAATAAACGGCTTTTTTACATCTGATCCTGCAAGTGGTAAAAATAAATAAATAAATAAACAAACAATTACATTCCTCACAATTACAATGTACAGACTTCATTAGTGAGAGGTAACATTTACATGAAGAAGAAGAAACATTTATACTGGAAACACAAGATTCGCACGCACTTAGCAATATAGGTCAACAGTGAAAAATATATTTTGTGTTTTCTATAGATAGTGTGATCGAATTTTAAAGGGTACACTGCAGCTTTTCAATAGCCAGGTACTTTGTTCTGTCCATTTTGTAGCTTGATTTACAGGAACCTCTACTGAAATACTTTAGGGATTAGCCACAAGTCCTGCAGGTTTATTTTTTGAATGGCAGATTTCAAGAGATTGCAAGAGGGTTCCTGTCTCTGTTATTCTGCTTCTCGCAGAACGAATGCTGGTTTCAATGCTTCTATGAAAAGCATGTGGTTGGACACAAGTCATCAGTATTGATGACATCACAGGAGGAAGATCGAAACTTCAGTGAAAAGATTCTCTTAGAGTTGGAATTTAGAAACATGAAAATGCATTGAAAAGTTACTTGGAGAGCTCCAACGTTTCGACGGCAGTCTGAACTGAAAAGCACTTGATCAGTCTAGTGAGGGACGGGAATAATCCGAACATTTGAGAATTTTCAGACATTTGAGTTTAGTTTGCCATTGGCTCCAAAAAGTAATATAGAAAGCAATAACAAAGATGATATAAAATAATAAATCCAAGACGAGCTAGCTGCAAAAAACAGCCTTTTAATTAACATGCAATTGCTGTACAAAAGGACACACTAAGCAACCAAGCCGCTATATCTTAATACATAACCTATGGTGCATCTTCTCTTACAATGTAAAACAGGTTCTGGAATACAGCCACAAAAGGGCTTTTTCCCCTTAAATCCTTTCATTTAGGAAGGTCATCAAATTTGGGGATGTGTCTCTGTGTTAGACTACAGGTAAGGTTAGAGGCTTGTTAAAAGGAAAAGAAAAATCCTACAGAAATGGAATCCAGTTACCTACATTAAAACAAAGCCCATGGACATTAAAAGCAAATATTTGTAATGTGAAAGATAAGAGGGGGGAACAAACAACCTCGCCTTTCCCTTTGTGAGTTAATCCTAGACCACCCTTTGCGTTAGGCTGCATTAAATAAAAACGCCTGTAATATAAATAGAACCATTTTGAGAAAAAAAAAAGCATTATGACTGAATTCAAGGTTACTCTCCATAATGAATCCAAAACATTGAAGGTTTTCAGGGAAACGAGATATAAACCCTTTAATGAAATCTAAATTCTCATCCTTGGGAGCGTAAACTCAGATAGATTAGTCTTCGATATCCCATGAGCAGACGCAAAGAACAACGGCTGATTATATTGCGGAGCTTAGCACTGAATTACAATAATAAAAATCTTTAAGAAGTATTACACAAATGGCTGAAAACATTTTTTGGTTTTTTTAAAGCTACATGGTGCTTTTTGGACATTTTACTTGGAGTAGGTAACGAAGCAGAGTTGCTCAATTTGCTCTCTCCAGTTAAACGATAGTCGGTTAACCTTTACATTGTGGAAGATGTCACCTTAGTATCAGTTTTTTTCTGCTAGTTATAAGAAGAGTTTTGCAGTTTTATTTTGTAGTTTTAGTTTAGCTATAGATTTACTAATGGCAGAGTTACTGTAAGCCACCAGATAGGCATAGGACCTGACAGCCAGATCACATATGGTCCCCTAGTTCCCCAAAACATAGAATTTAAAGTGTAAATGGTCACAGGATATGTTGATGTACAGCTTGAATTGCAGCATTTTATAGAACAATGTGAATGCAGCTATAATGTACAATCAATATGACGCTGCTCAACATTTTAACGTTGAAATTGAGAGCAAAGATATTTATGTAATAAAAGCACCACACAACTAATTGGAAAGCCACTTGAGACATAGAAAGTGACAGAAGACACTGCGTGATTGATAAAACAAAGTGTCTGTTTACCTGGAGCTGAGGCGCTGGAATCAGAATATAGGTTCTCCAGCTGCTCGTACAGCCCCATGAAGTCGCAATTCCGGGTGAGCTCATTGCGTGTGCGCATCATTCCTGAAAAACAAAAGGGCATGAGCTTTGGCGGTAACAACAGACAACTGTTTAAATCAAGAGTTCCTGAGTGTGTCATTATGAAATCTAATGGAAAAATGTACCGTCTGATGATGACGGTACAGACAAAAAATAAAAAATTGTAAATGTATATTTGCCAACAAGACATTTATCAAGTATGAATATGAATAGGTAGCTGTAGAAAGGTTTTTTTCAATAAATAAATAACATAAGCAATAAATGTCTACAGCAAATTTTATGTTAAGAATAAGCAATTTGTTTATTCTCATCTAGGCCTTTATTAGTCAAAGTGGATGTTATTAAAAATTCCAGCAAAACCTTTGGCCCAGATTCCCCTCCTTTTTGTTCCCAAGAAGTCAGGAAGGGATAAGCCACATAGATAAATGGGTTAGGACTTCCTATAAAAATAGGGAGAATAATCCTAAATAGGCAGATTCAGTGCAAACTAAAGGCAGAATGTCTGGGGGTGAAGCTGGGTGACAGGGAGTAGATGTAACCTCCAGTTATAAAACCCCTCTAGGTTGAACGGAGACCAATCTCATATGAACAAAACAAACAAAAGAAAGTTACCTTTTGAGCCATCCATAATGGAATTAAGATAGTGGTATAAGGATCGTGCTCCCATCTGCAGGAGCAGCTCGTAGCCATGATATAAACTTATACAGAGAGCAAAGTCTCCTTCAATCACTCCCAGCTGGGCTCCCTGAACATAAAAATACAAAAAGGTAGAATGGCAAATCACAGATTAAACACGTTTCCGTTTTAAACAAAACTCTATTATCCACGAGTCTGTTGGGGAAATACACCCCAGATTTCTCTGGCCCATATTATCAAATCAGCTGATCAAACATTGAGATTTAGGGGCTAAAAATTCGGACTACCCAAAATATTAGTGACGCATCGCAACAGACAAAACTGGTGACATACCATGACGTTAGATGGCGGGTTTTTTCTGAACTGTTCTCGAGAAAGAATAACCTGGTATTTTGTTAAATTAGGGATCTCCCTCCTGGACATTACGCCATTTTGAATCAGCCGCCCGGCAAATGTCTCTAGAACCTGTAGGGGGAGAGAAACACAAATTGATAATACTTTGAATCAGAGATCATAGGAAACCAATTATAGTTTTTGACAAGACTAACCGGTGGTTGACAAGCTTATGTTTTGTTAGCTAAATGTTTACTAACGCTCCATCATGTCCAGAGACACAGTTGTGGTTTTAGACTAATAAATAAACCTACAATATATTTTACAACATTCAGGAACACTCAGCTAGACGGATAGCGTTAATTCTTTATTTATTTTTTTAGTCATACATTTGTGCTTATAATGACTCATGTCTTTATGATATAATGTCTTAGCACACAGCTGACCTTTTGCCCCCAAAATATGCTTATATTTAACATAACGTTTACTTACTTTAACTTAGAAATGGTAATTTTTTTCAATAAAACCCTTTGTCAAACAAGTTTTTGTATGTAAAAAAAAAAAAAAAAATGCAAACAATTTTTAAAAGTAATTTGTCTGGTAGACAGCCACTGTGGGCAGACTTGGAATTACAATGTATTACATTGCAGCACTAGGTGCAAAAGGGACAGCACCCAGACCACTTCAATGAGCAGAAGTGGTCTGGGCGCCTACAGTGTCCCTTTAACCCCTTAAGGACACATGACATGTGTGATGTCATGATTCCCTTTTATTCCAGAAGTTTGGTCCTTTAGGGGTTAACCCTTAACCCCTTAAGGACCAAACTTCTGGAATAAAAGGGAATCATGACATGTCACACATGTCATGTGTCCTTAAGGGGTTAAAAAAAAATTTGAATTACTTATCTTAGTTTTAATACATTTTTGTATTTCCTGAAGAGCACTATGGATATTTAAGGTTGTACTCCATTTATACAGTCAAACAGACAGAGAGCCCCTGGGTGAAATTCATTTCCCAAAAAACAAAATAGACTACTCCTTATTTATAGACACAGAGAACAATGCCGAATAACATCGTCTAACCCTTGACAAGAGACTGGTAATTAATAGCTTGGAATCCAGTTTTCAAGAAGGACTTATCTTGTACAAGAACAAACCGGCATGGTAGGTTTAAACAAGGTCATACTGGGTGGCGAAATATCGGGAAATTTGAAAATACATACAAAAAAAAACACTACAGGGTAAGGAATACACTTTATATCTCTGACCCTATAGTGATCCTTTAATATAGATATAAGAAAACAATTATAAAAAATAAATTAAAAAAAGCATGTGAAGTTGCTATTTATTTATTTATAAAATATTTTACCAGGAAGGATACATTGAGATTACTCTCGTTTTCAAGTCTGTCCTGGGACCACAAAACATGGCATATTTAACTGCTAGTTAGAGGACAACACAAACACATGGAAATATACATTAACACACAACAAGTTACAAGTTACAATGCATATTATATACATAGAAAAAAATATTGTTGAAAAAAAAAAAATTAAATCTAGGTTCAGGAAAGAATATTAAAAAAAAACAAAAAAAACCACCCCACAATACATTGCACTACTGAAGGAAAAATGTTTAAGGTTACACAAGTGTTTTTGTAAATGTATAAAAAAAAAAAAAAAAAAAAATTCTTCATATTGTGTTACATGCACGGGGATTTATGTACTAAGTGTACAAACTACATTTTTACAATAAACCTAATTCTGCAAATGGGGCTTTTTAAGAACTGAATCTCTAGGGATAAAGTGCGGCATGAAATGTAAAATCTTATCAGTGACATCTGCCGGAGGGCAGAAATTAAACAGGCAGCATGCGAAGCCGAGCGCGGCCTGATACTATCTCCCCGAGCAACAGCAGCAGAATTATGAGATCAAGCAGGGCGCACACACCTGTGGCAAGGTAACACTATCTATTTGGTCCATGAAATGAGACCTACTTAGACAGATTATTAATCTCCAATTGGAAGCAGTAAGAAACTGTTACACAAGTTGCAATCTTTATTTGGACTTGCAGTATTAACAGAGTATAAACATCCATTACGGTCTTATTGGACGTTGGCTGTCAAGTTAAAAAAAAAAAATAAAAAAACACATCTAATAGTTCTATCAAATGCCGTAAAGCACAAAAAGGATGTAGGAGCTCTATCAGATTTATATGATCCGGATCCTGTTGTATAAATCCACAGTAGAACAAACCATTTAAAAGGCTGCACGGTGGTGAATCCACTTAACTAGAAATAGTTGAAGGGAGTCGCTCAGCAGGAATCGATGCCCACTGTATAGTTAGGGTGTAAGGCCTGTCTCCTTTGCTTTATATCGGATCTAGCTGTAGCTAACTGTACAAGCTGTAAGCCTGCTCTTTATATCTGTTAAAGGACCACTATAGGCACCCAGACCACTTCAGCTTAAAGGACCACTATAGTGCCAGGAAAACATACTTGTTTTCCTGGCACTATAGTGCCCTGAGTGTGCCCCCACCCGGCTCTGGAAGGGGCAAAGGGGTAAAAACGTACCTTTTTCCAGCGCTGGACGGGGAGCTCTCCTCCGATCCTCCTCTCCTCCCCGTCGACTGAATGCGCACGCGCGGCAAGAGCTGCGCGCGCATTCAGACGGTCGCATAGGAAAGCATTATCAATGCTTTCCTATGGACGCTGGCGTGCTCTCACTGTGAAAATCACAGTGAGAAGCATGCAAGCACCTCTAGCGGCTGTCAATGAGACAGCCGCTAGAGGGAATGGGGGAAGGCTTAACACATTCATAAACATAGCAGTTTCTCTGAAACGGCTATGTTTATTAAAAAAATGGGTTAACCCTAGCTGGACCAGGCACCCAGACCACTTCATTAAGCTGAAATAGTCTGGGTGCCTAGAGTGGTCCTTTAATGAAGTGGTCTGGGTGCCAGGTCTAGCTAGGGTTAACCCTTTTTTTTTAATAAACATAGCAGTTAGGGGGGAAACTGCTATGTTTATAAATAGGTTAATCCAGCCTCTAGCGGCTGTCTCATTGACAGCCGCTAGAGGCGTTTGCGTGCCTCAGGGCACTATAGCGCCAGGAAAACGAGTATGTTTTCCTGGCACTACAGTGGTCCTTTAAGGAATCTAGGTTGTTCTCTGAATTATTATCGTGTGTTCTCACTGCATGGGCACATGCCGTGCCCACCCTTGGCACCTCTCACTGAGATCCCTTGACACAGCTGCATGCTGATGGCTTCGGTGATGGATACAGCTCCACTGACAACGTGCATGAATACAGCTATAATAAGCTGTAAGTGGCTAGAGTGTGTCTTTAAAGGGCCATTCTGCACACCATAACCACTACAACTCATTGTAGTTCCAAATCACTTGACTGTTTGCTGTGGACAGGCTAATCTGCAATATCCATGAGAGATGTTTACTTTATGTACCAGGAGAGCCAGAGATTGCCGAAGACCTAAGTCTATCCTCTGCCCGTATTCCCATATCTGATGCTTAAGGGCGGCACCTTTTCTGTGGAACTCCCTTTTCCATTAGACTTTCACCCAGTCTCCACTCCTTAAAAAAAAAAATTCTTTGAAAACACACTTCTTCAGGAAAGCATGTCATTTAACCCCTTAAGGACACATGACATCATCCCTCCCTTCCATGACTCCTCTCCTGCAACTGTCAAAAATAACCTACCAAGTTCTCAGTGAATCATTTTCTAGCAACCCCTTTTTCATTACCTCTGCTTATACCCTTTGTGTCACTATACCCCACTCCCTCTAGCATGTAAGCTCATTGACCCTCTGTTCCTGTGCTTCCATTTGTCTGGTTACAATTACGTGTGTTAGTCCACCCATTGTACAGCGCTACAGAATTTGCTGGCGCTATATAAGTAATAAATTAATAATAATGCCAACTGGGGAGACTGAAGACTTTTTGCATCATAAACAGTACAATAAAATGTTGTAACTGTGCTCTGAGTTTCCCTTTAAGGCAGGCAAAAAGCGCTGGGAATTTCAATGCTGCATTCTAACCGGTCCGGACCCACGAGAAAGACCAATTTTACTCCCAACATTCTACCTGTCTCACTGCACATAATGTTCACTACCCCACATCCCCTCTAAATAGGAATACGCCAAGCGATCAAACAGCCTTGCTAAACTCCCAACATTCTACCTGTCTCACTGCACATAATGTTCACTACCCCACATCCCTTCTAAATAGGAATACGCCAAGCTATCAAACAACCTCGTTAAACTCCCAACATTCTACCTGTCTCACTGCAACTACCCCACATCTCCTCTAAATAGGAATACGCCAAGCTATCAAACAACCTCGCTAAACTCCCAACATTCTACCTGTCTCACTGCACCTACCCCACATCTCCTCTAAATAGGAATATGCCAAGCGATCAAACAGCCTCGCTAAACTCCCAACATTCTACCTGTCTCACTGCACCTACCCCACATCTCCTCTAAATAGGAATACGCCAAGCGATCAAACAACCTCGCTAAACTCCCAACATTCTACCTGTCTCACTGCACCTACCCCACATCCCCTCTAAATAGGAATACGCCAAGTGATCAAACAGCCTCGCTAAACTCCCAACATTCTACCTGTCTCACTGCACATAATGTTCACTACCCCACATCCCCTCTAAATAGGAATACGCCAAGCTATCAAACAACCTCGCTAAACTCAACCCTTAAAGAACTAAAACCCAAATCACAAAATAACCTGAAAAATACCGCCAGCCCAGCCAGTGACGGCTTTTAGCCTATATTTTGCAATTTGGATATAAAATTTGCTGTACGTCTCGGTTTAGCAATCAGCCTTGTGAAACGAACAGTCAGGAGTTAAAAATGAATTGCAAATTTTAGTCCAAATTGGAAAACGTAACTAGAGAGGAGATTGGTTTCCTAATTTCTTTTATCCTAAAATAAGAATTCAAAATAATTCTGAGTTAGTTTTTTTTAATTCACCAATTCAGACTAATTGCCTTGTCACATCTATATCCAATGTGTCATAATTACAGTGTGTGATAAATTGATATAAATCCATTATAAAGCAAAATATGTTGGTGATACATCATTGGAACAAATAGTAAGGCCAAGTCGTCGCTGTCTCCCCCTTTCCCCCCTCCATGTCACTTTATTCTTAAACAGAAGAAACAAACGTAGACCCCAATTTGTTAATTTTAACAAGTGTCCTAAAACCATAATATTACGAAATATAACAGACACTACAAGACTGACAACAAAAACAATTATGACAAATAATTTCAAAAACCTCTCTGGAGATTCATTTATTTTCTAAACAATTGTAGCAAACCGAAAATACTAAAAAATATTTCCCACGTCTGCTGTCTTTTTCCCAGTTTCAAACCAGATATTTCGGCATAAATATTGTACAATTGAAATCAGCACAACTCCCGTTTAAGTGAATAAACTGGTGCCTGGCATTGAGCTGGGCTGCGGTGGTGCAGGGGTTAAGCATAGCACTACTTTATAGACGCCTACCATTCACCCTCTCCCCTCCCCATACAGATACAGATTAAGTGAGCATGTGCTAGTTCTGCCTCCATCCATCCCCTCCCTCAGTGAGTCTCCTGCACGCCTCCTCCACTCAGCTTTTAAAAGCAACAGCTGCCAAACCCTTTAAACGCTGCTAAAGTCTGATTTCCTCTTAGCAAGAGGCACAGGACTGAGGCCAAGAGGAATCTTGAGCAGGAACCTTCGCTTTGGTGCTCTCCAAAAAAAAAAAGTTTTGCTTAGCCAGAGTCAGGTCTAAAGGTGTGTGCCATCTGCACGCGATCTAGACAACATTTATAGCTGTAAAACAGGACTGGCTGGTCTATATGCTCACTGACAGGTAAACTTAGCTACCCGTGCTTCTTAATTCTGGATTTGTGGATTGGAATGTGGGCATAGGAATTGTAAATTCTGTCACAAAGTCCAAATCCTATCAGGCTAAGCTAAATTCCTAGTTGAGATCTAGATGCCGTAGTATACCCTGCTATACCACCCCTGAACTGCTAGATACATAAACTGTGGGTTTATCAATATTGACATACATGTTGTAACTCTGGAATTTAGGCAGTGTTCTGGAAAAAGGTCTCCGAGTCTAGCAAAACTAGATACTGTTTACAGTTTTAGATTGAAGGTAAGGTTCTGGAGCTAGATGTTGGTTGGAGTTTTAGGCAAGGTTCTAAAAAAGTTACCATTCTCAGCTCTGAACTGGAGTTAAGGTTTTAGGTCTGGATATCAGTTGTAGTATTGGATTGCTGGTACGGTTCTAGAGGCAGATATTTTCAGCTCTGAATTGCAGTCAAGGTGATCACTATGCAGAGTGAGGGGTGTAGGATGAGCGGTGGGGTGCAGGAGCCGGCAGGAGCTGGGATGATCACTTTGGATGATTTGGACAACATGACGGACGAACCAGGCTCCGACTCTGCATACAACAGCAATGGGAGCGTGGAGGAAGAAGTGGAACCAATGGAAGATGCTGAACAAGACAGGCTGCTTAATTACTGGCAAACTGTGGCCAGGGGCCACCAGGTCGAGGTCCCAAATGGTAAGATCTTCCCATTGCATGTCTGTTTATGGGTCTAGGCTAAAAATCATCAAAACCCAAGATGTAGAAATGTCAAAGAGTGAACAAGTTACTTGTTATATTATGGACTCTTGTTTTACGAGTGTTAGATTTGTTTTGTCTACCCATTGTACAACGCTGCGGAATGTGTTGGCACTATATAAATATTCTGCAGAGTAAGGGGTGCCCCATTGTGCCTGGCGGGTTATATTCTACATGGGTGTCAGGATAGCAATGTACAAGTCTACACGTATTTGTGCATAGTATAGTTTGTATAAATGTCGGTAGTCCATACACAATACTACTTCATTATTCTGTGTACTCAATGCCGGGATCTAAGGGTCCATTGAAATTATCTGAAGAGTATGGACTTAGAATGCCAAACAATAGAGACAGAAATCTAGTAGATTACAGAGGTTGCTGCGACTCAGAACACGATGATTAAACCTATTCATTAATGCAAGAGCAGCACGGATGGGAAAAGCACGCCAGTTAAAATAAAACCATATAAGCAAGCATTGAGAAGGACCGTAGTAAGTCTATCAGGCAGGGCACTGATGGAATGGCTGCAGAAAGGAAAAAGAAAAAAAAACATTCAGGGGAAAAAGTGGATTTTAGGAATTCTCTATATTACAGCCAGACACCATCTGTCAGTGAGGCTGGGCTTCATCTCCCATGGTTAGGTATAATGTCACAGGTTGCCCAATGTTTTAAAGCAGTGACGGAGAGAGAAAACAGCTGTAGAATCAATTCTAGGGAAAGTGGGAATAGGAGGGCTTCTCAACACAATTCATAATAAATTCCATCAGCAATGCTGATGGAAGAGTTACACAGTGTGTGCCCAGGACTTTCTCCAGACTTGGGTTTAGCTATAGGATCTGTCGGCCTAAATGTTAGTTATTGATACACAAGGTCTAGCCTAACGAAGAAGGGCACTGCAGAAATTGAAGGACTATAGTTACTATGATCCTGAACGTAGGCATTAATCTCTAAATGTTTGGCGCTGTGCTGCACTCTCTCAGTCAACCTCTTTATAACAAGGGGTCAGGTAAAACCTTTTATATCACGAGAATCGTAATATCAGCTAAATAAACAGCTGCTGGCGGATATTAAGAGAAATAAAACACCCTGGTATGTGCCCTTTGGGGGTCCTATATATTATAAAGGAAGGAGGGGTACTAGCGGTCTGTTATTAGGCAGTGTTTAATACTGCAATGACCTGAATATCTCAATGAGATTAGCCATTTGGAGACTTAATCCTTGGCAGCGGATTGAAACCAAAATGTTATGGGTTAAAATACAAGTGCTTGCATGACATACGCAAATATATATAAAAAAAAAAAAACGTAGCAACTAGTTAATTTTTGCCCATTGCTGTTACTACCAAGAAAATTAGCTTTTGCAGTTTGTGCCAAAATACTCTGCGGCACTGTACGTATCTTAGGACATATACTGTCATTATGGTTTAAGTGTACACGTAACGTGCAGCTACAAATCTTAATGCTCAGCCAACCAGAGGGAGTTTCAATTCTCTGGCAAGCGATAAAAGAGAGAATGATATGGAAGCGTTAACTTGGTTTGCCATGCTTCGCTGCTTACTAGGCACGCTGGGTTAATGGGAGCAAGTTCAGCAGAAGATGGGTGACTGCTCAGGGCACTCCAGCTGCTGCAGACTGACTCCTGACACGCTAAGCCAGTCGCTCAGTGTTCCCAATACCAGTCTCAGTCTCTCTGAATGACTGTATAGGGGAAGTGCATATAAAGCACAGTTAATCCCTAGCAGGATGTCTAAATCTTAGATTAGTGCATGTGATCAATACATGCACTTGGCAAAATATTGCAATGTACGTGGGTTTAAAGCCAAGTCCTAGGAGAACAGACCTCAGAAGGCCCATCACACAGAGACTCAATTAAACACAGATACCAAAATACAGTAACCAAGCATGCAGCTGGAAGGGGGCTATTCTCGGAAAGAACCCAGTGACTCTGTAAAACAAGCAATTCTAGAACATTCGATTCCACGGAGACTGCCCCACTTTTAGAACTTTCCCCTTAGATTTGCACTTTATACAAAACCCTGTACACACTCCTAGAAAATCCTGTACCCCCTCATACAAAACCCTGTACACACTCCTAGAAAATCCTGTACCCCCTCATACAAAACCCTGTACACACTCATACAAAACCCTGTACCCCCTCATACAAAACCCTGTACAGACTCATAGAAAATCCTGTACACACTCATAGAAAATCCTGTACACACTCATAGAAAATCCTGTACACACTCATAGAAAATCCTGTACACACTCATAGAAAATCCTGTACACACTCATAGAAAATCCTGTACACACTCATACAAAACCCTGTACACACTCATAGAAAATCCTGTACACACTCATAGAAAATCCTGTACACACTCATAGAAAATCCTGTACACACTCATAGAAAATCCTGTACACACTCATACAAAATCCTGTACCCCCTCATAGAAAACCCTGTACACACTCATAGAAAATCCTGTACACACTCATACAAAACCCTGTACACGCTCATAGAAAATCCCATACCCCCTCATACAGAACCCTGTACACGCTCATACAAAATCCCATACCCCCTCATACAAAATCCTGTACACGCTCATAGAAAATCCTGTACCCCCTCATACAGAACCCTGTACACGATCATAGAAAATCCTGTACCCCCTCATAGAAAATCCTGTACCCCCTCATACAGAACCCTGTACACACTCATAGAAAATCCTGTACCCCCTCATACAGAACCCTGTACACGATCATAGAAAATCCTGTACCCCCTCATAGAAAACCCTGTACACGCTCATAGAAAATCCTGTACCCCCTCATACAGAACCCTGTACCCCCCTCATACAGAACCCTGTACCCCCCTCATACAGAACCCCAGGCCCCCTCATACAGAACCCTGTGTACCCCCTCATATACAGAACCCTGTACACCCTCATACAGAACCCTGTACACCCCTCATACAGAACCCTGTACACCCTCATAGAAAACCCTGTACACCCTCATATAGAAAACCCTGTACCCCCTCATACAGAACCCTGTACACGCTCATAGAAAACCCTGTACACGCTCATAGAAAACCCTGTACACGCTCATACAAAATCCTGTACCCCCCTCATACAGAACCCTGTACACGCTCATACAAAATCCCATACCCCCTCATACAGAACCCTGTACACACTCATAGAAAACCCTGTACCACCTCATACAAAACCCTGTACCCGCTCATAGAAAATCCCATACCCCCTCATACAGAACCCTGTAAACGCTCATAGAAAATCCTGTAGCCCCTCACACAAACCCTGTACACACTCATAGAAAATCCTGTACCCCCTCATACAAACCCTGTACACGCTCACAGAAAACCCTGTACCCCCTCATACAGAACCCTGTACACGCTCATAGAAAATCCTGTAGCCCCTCATACAAACCCTGTACACACTCATAGAAAACCCTGTACCCCCTCATACAAAACCCTGTACACACTCATAGAAAATCCTGTACCCCCCCTCATACAGAACCCTGTACACGCTCATACAAAATCCCATACCCCCTCATACAAAACCCTGTACATGCTCATAGAAAACCCTGCACCCCCTCATACAAACCCTGTACACGCTCATAGAAAACCCTGTACCCCCTCATACAGAACCCTGTACACGCTCATAGAAAATCCTGTAGCCGCTCATACAGAACCCTGTACACACTCATAGAAAATCCTGTACCCCCTCATACAGAACCCTGTACACGCTCATAGAAAATCCTGTAGCCCCTCATACAAACCCTGTACACACTCATAGAAAACCCTGTACCCCCTCATACAGAACCCTGTACACGCTCATAGAAAACCCTGTACACGCTCATAGAAAACCCTGTACACGCTCATACAAAATCCTGTACCCCCCTCATACAGAACCCTGTACACGCTCATACAAAATCCCATACCCCCTCATACAGAACCCTGTACACACTCATAGAAAACCCTGTACCACCTCATACAAAACCCTGTACCCGCTCATAGAAAATCCCATACCCCCTCATACAGAACCCTGTACACGCTCATAGAAAATCCTGTAGCCCCTCACACAAACCCTGTACACACTCATAGAAAATCCTGTACCCCCTCATACAAACCCTGTACACGCTCACAGAAAACCCTGTACCCCCTCATACAGAACCCTGTACACGCTCATAGAAAATCCTGTAGCCCCTCATACAAACCCTGTACACACTCATAGAAAACCCTGTACCCCCTCATACAAAACCCTGTACACACTCATAGAAAATCCTGTACCCCCCCTCATACAGAACCCTGTACACGCTCATACAAAATCCCATACCCCCTCATACAAAACCCTGTACATGCTCATAGAAAACCCTGCACCCCCTCATACAAACCCTGTACACGCTCATAGAAAACCCTGTACCCCCTCATACAGAACCCTGTACACGCTCATAGAAAATCCTGTAGCCCCTCATACAAACCCTGTACACACTCATAGAAAACCCTGTACCCCCTCATACAGAACCCAGTACACGCTCATAGAAAATCCTGTAGCCCCTCACACAAACCCTGTACACACTCATAGAAAATCCTGTACCCCCTCATACAAACCCTGTACACGCTCACAGAAAACCCTGTACCCCCTCATACAGAACCCTGTACACGCTCATAGAAAATCCTGTAGCCCCTCATACAAACCCTGTACACACTCATAGAAAACCCTGTACCCCCTCATACAGAACCCAGTACACGCTCCCTGTATACAAACCCTGTACACACTCATAGAAAACCCTGTACCCCCTCATACAGAACCCTGTACACGCTCATAGAAAACCCTGTACACGTTCATACAAAATCCCATACCCCCTCATACAAAACCCTGTACATGCTCATAGAAAACCCTGCACCCCCTCATACAAACCCTGTACACGCTCATAGAAAACCCTGTACCCCCTCATACAGAACCCTGTACACGCTCATAGAAAATCCTGTAGCCGCTCATACAGAACCCTGTACACACTCATAGAAAATCCTGTACCCCCTCATACAGAACCCTGTACACGCTCATAGAAAACCCTGTACCCCCTCATACAGAACCCTGTACACGCTCATAGAAAATCCTGTACCCCCTCATACAGAACCCTGTACACGCTCATACAAAATCCCATACCCCCTCATACAGAACCCTGTACACACTCATAGAAAACCCTGTACCACCTCATACAAAACCCTGTACCCGCTCATAGAAAATCCCATACCCCCTCATACAAAACTCCATATCTATAGGTCCCACCGCACCACATCAAGGTATAGAATACATAAAATAAAATGTTTATAGACATAAATATATTCAAATATACAATAGTTTAACAATAATTAAAATAGTTTAATTTAATGTGCCATTTTAACCAGCTTTAGATTGAAACAAACAAAAATGGTTCAGTTTATGCTTCTTTGTATAAATTATTTCTTGTTTTTACCAGACATGGCAGAACCTATCCAACAAATGACTAGAAATAACCGTACTGAGGAACGCCAAAGTGTGCCCTTTCTATTACTGAGTCGCAAGGAGAAGGTGAGGTTGTAGTCCAACTTCATAGTGTGAGGTGTAATGGCAGCCATATAGCGCAAGCTCAATGCGCCCATGTCCCAAGGTCACTTTACATGTGAAAATAACGTTCTCTTAAAATATTAGTTTTACATTAAATGACAGTGTTCATGCACACCTACACTCAATGCACTGTTCCCCTCACAGAATGCGCTGCATGTGGCAATGTTCCCCAACATCCATGGTTTATTCACAGAATTCAAAGCACACGGAACATAGACTAAACATGTATCATGCAAAATGATCGTCACACTTCATTATATAAATGATCATATCAACATTTGTTTGCATTTTGGCATATACACCAAGTTTTAATGTAAATAAAGGGAATATTTGCTCAGCCATTAGTGTAATGAGGGGTGACAGTAACTGTTGTGCCCTCAAAGTATGTCCCAAGTCTTAGGCACGGACCACTATAGTGCCAGGAAAACAAACTTGTTTTCCTGGCATTATAGTGTTAATAGGTCCAACCCACCCTCAGGGTGCCCCCCCGCCAGGCTTAAGGGAGAGGAAGGGGTTAAAATGTTACCTTCCTCCAGCTCCGGGCTCCCTCGGACGTCATCGGCTGAATGCGCATGCACGGCAAGACCCGCGCGCATTCAGCCAGACTCACAGGAAAGCATTCTCAATGCTTTCCTATGATCGTTGGCGTCTTCTCACTGTGAAAATCACAGTGAGAAGCGCAGAAGCGCCTCTAGTGGCTGTCAATGAAACAGCCACTAGAGGCTGGATTAACCCTATTGTAAACATAGCAGTTTCTCTGAAAATGCTATGTTTACAGCAGGCAGGGTTAACCCTAGATGGACCTGGCACCCAGACCACTTCATTGAGCTGAAGTGGTCTGAATGCCTATAGTAATCCTTTAAGTAATACGAAAAGCAATAATCAAGGAAGGGCCCTTTGTCCAAGGCTGCAGATGCTCAGGGGTACCCATTGCCCATGATCAATTAACTAACCCCCTCCACATGTACAGTTCCATTCAGCTAGTACACCTAAATTACCAGTGTCTAGGGGGACCCACCAAGCTGCTAGCCCGGCAGGCATACTATATAATGTCCACTTTCACATATTGTGGCAAATCAAAGATGAGGATGGAGGTAGGGGAAGTGAAAGTCACATGTTCTATTCTAGATTTATTCCCGACAAGCAGCTTCTAAGCAGAAAATCAGATTATCACAATCTATAATCCAAGACTGAGTACAAGCCTTGTTCTTCAAGCATAAACAGATCTCAGGTCAAAGTATGGCATTAATCTGCTGCAGTGAACCAACTCCCTCTGTATCAGTCCCTAAAACACAGGATTTAAAGGGCAACCGAATATAGAAATTGCTCAGGCAGACTCTGCAGGATAAACAAATCCACTGCAAGTGGTAGCCATGTGGCAACCTCGAGAAGTGTCCTCAATGTGCGTCATTAAATGGCCCTCTAAGCCCCCAATATCCAGCTTGATCAAACGGCAAAGGCAGAGAATCAAAACTCAATTCTATTTTGTTGCAATGTCTTTGTAGTGTGGAGAGATTCTGTATGAGAAGAGACAATATGGAAGAGCCAAGTGGGCATGTGTTAAAATGCAGGAAGAACAATATGAACAGAGCATATGCCTGGGATTTATGAAGCTGATGAGATACATCTGTGAACAAAACTCTTCAGGTAACATGTCATAACCACAAGCTGTATATACGCACTGGATCATGTAAGTCATGTTAAAAAGCTACACCAAGATTACAAGTAGAGCTCACTTTAAAGAACATCCAAGAATAGAATGTTTTGAGTCCTTAATTTACAAGAAACCATATTTAAAAAAAAAAAAAATAAAAAAAAATTCTAGAACTATATACAGCCTAGTCTATATTTTTTTTTTTTATTTGTTGGTCGACATGAAAGAATCACCCATGGTTCATTTTACAGGTCTATATCTTGGGATGACCATTCCAATTCTGACCATCGTGCACACAGACGAAGTTCAAGCAGAACTCACACGATCGGTCACTGTGGCGTACTACATTCCGTCTCCTCTCCAAGAACAGCCACCTCAGCCTACAGACCAGGACATTGTCATTGAAGAATGGCCTCCCACAATAGTGTTTACTCGGTAAGACCTGGGTTAACAAATACAAGGAGTTTGGATTCCTAAAAAAAAATAAAAAATAAAAATGCACAAACACTCAGCAAAATGTCTAGTAGTAAAGAACTTTAACGTAACACTTTCGTAGGCTGTTACTTTACCAACAACTGAAAACCTTTATGGACTTGGAAACACCCTGGCCAACTGTACAGCATTTGTCTAGTTAACATATTTAAGAGCTAGATTATACCACGTGGCCAAAGCCTGGTCCTGTAGCACAAAGTGTTTATTGCAAACAGCAGTGACCTGGAAGTGTCCGTGGCCTTTTCAAAAATAATCAGGGATAAAGAATTAAAAATAAAAATGAATGTACTGTGAAGAGAAACATTAAACACTTTAAGATTCACGGCTTATAGATTAGAGAACAGCACAGATCGAGACGTATTGTCCTTAATGGTTGGCTTCACCCCCGGATAACATACTCGCACTGACTATCACATTTTTAGCACATGATTATTTCCCCACCACTTCGAGTGGTTCTTTTTCATTAGGCAATCCATTATTCTGCTTCAACAAGACGAGGGCCTGAATGACACGGAGGGATTTCCTCCCCCTTTCAATCCCTTATAAGGATAAATAGAAGAGCCCTTAGCACAATAAGGATGAAAAGCTGTAAGAACAGAGTATTTATTGGTGTTAACTGCTCCCCTGCTGCAGCAAGTAATACGCGTCAAGCTGTGACAAAAGACTTTAATAAATGGAACATCCAGGGGACAAAACGGTTTTAAAAACTAAAATTTAAATCTATTTGTTAAAAAAAAAAATAAAAAAAAAATTTAAGTTATATTCTTCATAAAAATCAAAAAACACAAAAGATTTAATAATATTTTCAAAGAACAAGGTTTAATCAAAGTTAAGAAAAAAAAAGTCTAATCTGTTTGGAAGTTGAACAAATGTAATTTGTATTAAGCAGGAAAACTACAGATAGATATGACTACAAGCCATCAGCTGACTGCCACATGTTAACACTGGAATCTCTATAGCCAAGTGCCGGTCCCTTGCTTGGTAGACCAGCACGTACTCACTTTACCCTTTAAGCACCCAAAGTACAGTCTTGGTCCCACGGCTAGCAGACTGCATTTCCTGCCAGCCAATTCTGCAAGGTGGTCAGTGGGAATTAAAGTCTAGAAGAAAGTGAGGGCCAGGGTTAAGCAGGCTTAGATTGAAAACATGTGTGTTCAACTGAGGTCCACTGGTTGTTGTGATCGAGTACAGCTACCATAGTTCTTTGGGGATTTCATAGAAACAACAAAATCTGCCCAAAACGTCAAAATATTAGAAAACCAGTTAGCATGGATTCTGAAATGTCCCTGCTAAATGAGAGCAGGCTATGGAAGAGTATTGAGATTTCAAAAGACATTTGCACATTTTACAAACTCACTGAGACATCCTGAAAATGTATAGTTTGTTGGGATAACTTGTATTTTAGAGTTTCCTCTTTTACGAAAGACATCCATTTCATACCAAATTGCTTATTTCCTGCACTTTCTCCAGGCCCTTCAGTGGAGTGACCAACGAAGAGTCCATTATACATGAAATCCACCTGCTGGCTGAGCTCTTGGACAATCCGGAGGAGTGTTTGCAGGACATGTTTACCGTAGCTGGATACACTAACCCAGCGGCTGCCAACAGACAGAATGAGATCTGGTTCCTACAAAGGCCGTGATGGACGGAAAGAGGTTTGGAGAAGAGTCTGAAATGGATGCCCACCACTGAACAGTGAAACACTAAAATTCCACATTGCAGGTCAATGAGTTGGTCATTTCCAACCTTATGGATTAGCGATAACCGTCTGAACATGTCCTGCTTCTTGGGTCCTCTTAGACTTAAGGTTGACTTTACCCCAAAGGACTTTTTTTTAATGTCTCAGGGCCAGGTTCGTTAGCAGCTTTTACAGGAAAGGGAGGAATAAGATCTGTATTATGAAAACCCATTAACTTATGTTCCTTTGTATAAGTAGGACAGAAAATGTCAAATGTCAGCATTTTTCAGATTGCCCTACGGGACACTGAAAGTATAGACATGACAATGGCAAAAATCGGTCCAAGACAGCAGATATAACAAATTTCTATCTACACTATAGTGGTTCAATATTAGCAATTTCCTTGTTCTAAACTCCCCGTTTAGTGAATAACTCCATAACTGAAGCATTGAGAGTAAATGTTTTGGGCTCTGGGACACATAGGGTTAAGACAGATTTGTTCCTTCTTCTTGTTCATTAGAAGTGAAAAGGATTTAGCCAAGATATCAACTGCTAAGCTTCAAATCCAATCGAACATCTTGGGAAACGCAGCTTCCCCCATGGGGTCCATATGGCAATCCAAGCATTAACCATCTATGTGCCAAAGGCTCAGACATAATGCCATTTCTGTGCGTCTAATATTCTACGAGGTTCATTTAAAGGATATGAGTGTGTTAATCATGTCACCTCCTTGCTGACCAGTATGAAGATTTACTAAAATAGATCATAGCTACCATTGTGGATTAACCCTTTCATTTCAATAGAGGTGTGAAAAACCAGAGGGGAGAAACAAACAAAAACAAAAAACCTTCAAAGAACAATCAATCACTTACACAAGGCTTTAAAACGGACTTTCCACACCCATTAGTATACAATATGTAAAGAAACCACCCAAAAAGGTTTTTTCATTAGATATATGAACTCTGCCTAATGCTGGGTAGAATTTTTCATGTACTGCTCAACATTTCAAAGTCATGTTCTCTAAGAAACCACTGGAACTGGCAAGCCTAGTTTTAAAGCGCTATTAGTATTTGTGATAGGAGGGCTGTTTAAAAAAAAAAACATATAAATTCTACATACTGACAGACAAAAAAAGGCAGTGTTCTACCACGCGGAATGTTAAATATACTGCAGGGAGAAAAATATGCTTAATGAGGCGTCCTGCGGCACAATGTATAGCTACTTCTAATGGGCTGCCACACAGTAAGTCGTTTTCATGAAAACATTGAAGATCTGGTAACATTGGTGGGTAATTAACCACCCCAGGTATAATCAGGAAATGCAGCCTGCTAAAAGGCATGTGACAGATAGCAGCAGAAAGAAAGCACTCCTGTTAATTAACTCCAGTCAGACATTAGGTTAATCCTCTTACACAGACAGCTTTCTCCCACGTTACCTTGTTAGGATAATTAGACATTTATCATACAGGCCACGTATCAGATGAGACTGCAAAGTGGGCTCTGTCAGACGTCTAGGATTCCATGATGGCTATAAACAAAAAAACCTGGGAACATACTGAAATAGTCTGAGGGCAGGAAAATTGAGCATACAATGGGGTTTTATTCTTCAATGCGCTAAATTGTAGGAAACATTCTCCAATAGTGATGTCCCGAACGGTTCGCCGAGGATGGCGAACATATGCGCTGTTCGGTCCGCCCCCTATTCGTCATCATTGAGTAAACTTTGACCCTGTACCTCACAGTCAGCAGACACATTGCAGCCAATCAGCAGCAGACCCTCCCTCCCAGACCCTCTCACCTCCTGGACAGCATCCATTTTACATTCATTGTGAAGCTGCATTCTTTGTAAGCTGTCCAGGTGGTGGGAGGGTCTGCTGCTGATTAGCTGGAATGTGTCTGCTGACTGTGAGGTACACGGTCAAAGTTTACTCAATGATGACATAGGGGGCGGACCGAACAGCGCATATGTTCGCCATCTGCGGCGAACCGTTCGGGACCACTATTCTCCAACTACATTTTTCACATTTGATTATTTTGCACTAAAATACCCTTGTTTGCTGAATGACCACAAATGCGTTTTTTGACCCTATCAAAAAAGCTATGAAAGGATTGTAACAGCTAAGGCAGGCATGCTACAGTAGAGTTAGAAAGATGTATACAAGATTAGACTTCAAATCCAGTAAACCAGGGGTAGGCAACCTCCGGCACTCCAGCTACTGTGAACTACATCTGGTGCCAACATTATGGCTACAAGAGCATTATGGAGATGTAGTCTGCAACATCTGGTGTGCTGAAAGTTGCCTAGCCCTCCTTTAACCAGTGATTAAGTGTTACCTTTTGTTGGACTATCAGCTAGAGAGTCTCAGGTGCAGTGAGGACATGAATCACAGAAACACTAGTTTAGGGTTTGGTGTTTCCACGTATCGGGACACGTCATTGCTTTACTTTCTAAACAGGGATTTGCAATCATTTTACAAAAGGTGCAAAAGCGCAATAATACATTCTATACAATGCGATCGCCAATCAGCTACAAGTACAGCAATCATTTCTGATTTCATGCATCAAGACTTGTAAAAACTAAAAACACTAAACTGGGAAGGTTTGTCAGTTATAGATTGCAATTACCCCAAATTTGTACAAAACTGACCAGATATTTAATGGATCTGGATGATCTATGGTCTCTAAAATATGAAAACCCAGAAAACAGGGGAAAAAACCCCCCAAAAAACCCCCACAGAAATAAAACCTTGGCAGAAATCTTAGGGTTCTCTCAAGCTTATTCTAGAATAGAAGCAAACTTTGCAACGAGCACACAATGTGGCAGACATGTTGCACTAATCAAGTGAATACCGAACGTTGAAGGAAAAAGCTGTTCTTTTCTTATTTTTGTGATTTGGTTTGTCTTCACAAAGCATTGTAGGAGGGAGAATGGCTACGGCTAGCCCAATATATAAATACAATGTCTCTCTATACTATGCTCCCAGATATGTAAGACTGTATTTGTATCTGCCGGTCAGTGGGAAACGCAGGCGAAGAGCAGTTACCGGTAAATGTCTGAACAGCCACAGGTGCATAAGGACTACTGTAAATATATATATATATAAGCAAATCAGGATTTAATTATTGTATGTGTGTGATTACTATGTTGAGGCTTTAGTGAATGTATTATAAAAGTTATAATTGCAATCACTGCATAAAAATATATTGTAACAAGAACTATATTTTTTTGATCTAGCAGTTGTCTAGCTTTCAGTCATACATGAATAATGATTATTATGGACCTTTGTGACACTATATAAGTTTGTACCACAGTTTGCACTTAAACGCTGCAAGTCAAGCTTTGAATAAAGGTGATTGACAGTTTATTTTCCACTGTGCAAATTAATATGTGGGTGGAACCAAGTCAAAACCAAAACACAATTATGACTTAACATTTTCAACATACACAAGAAATATAGAAAATATAGCCAGAGTAACCATGTGTATTGTTGGAAAATGCAGCATTTATAAATAATGCAAACATTTAATAAATACATTTAAAACCCCTCCCTCTCCCCCCCAGCTTCCAAAACAAAATACCTATATCATGGAGGGGGGCCATAGGGCAGTGTAATAATCCCCCAGGCTGCAGAACTAGAATGTCTTTTAGCTCTGACATAGATGGAGTGCAGTTTCTGGAAGGGAGAGACCAGCCCTTCTAGTGACCGTTTAATAAGGACCTGCTAAGGACACACTATGCAGAAATGCAATCAGCACTGACACATCACGCCCCACTGTGTCATGCTTGGCCCCAAGGCATTAGTTTACAGTTTTTCAGATTAATCCTCCAAGTGCCAAAGAGGAGCAGAAACGTTTATGTTTTTGACCTGATTCATATTCAACATTAACCCCTTAAGGACACAGCTTCAGAAGCTTGACTTACGCTTAATGACACAAGCAATTTTTGCATTTTCTTGCTGTTTGCGTTCAACTGCAATTTGCATCTCTCTCATTTATTGCACCGACACATATTATATACTGTTTTTAAAGGACAGAAAGGGCTTTAATTTGATATAACATATATATATATAAATGCTTACTTATTATAAAAAAAATACAGAAAAATGCAAAAAAAATGAAAAATATGTTTTTTTTTACAGTTTTTGCAATAATAATGTGTGCATAATTAGTGCAGGTTAAGGAAAGTAATTAAAAATAAATTTATTTATTTGTTCTGATTAACAGAATATATAATGTGTCTGGGATTTTAAGTTTTTTTTGGTAGTTACAGGTCACAAAGCACAAGGAGTAAAATAAAATTTTAATGTGGAGCGATTTTAGAATTTGGTATGTTTGTCTTGTAAGCTTAATAGCCATAAAAGAAAACAAAATTGCCACACAAAAGTATATATTTATATAAAGTAGACATCACGGGCTATTTACCTAAGGTTGTTTTGACACTTTCTACGTAGCCATTTCACCGCCAACCTCTGCTAAATATTGGAGTAAAATTGTGTTCTTTTTGGTTTTTGGCACACAAACTTATAACAAAGAAATTCTCGTGTATATTTTGTAAAGTTGGTGTGTGCTATTCCTGTACAAAGTTTTATTTTGTGTTCAGTTACATCTGCTGAGTAAAATGACACCCCATTGTATGTCTTTTGCACTATTTCGTGAAGTTACAGTGCCATACAGGATACCTGTCCTTTTCAGTATTCACAGTAGAATGTTGAGAGATGAATTTAATGAGCCTTAGCTTCCATTTGGGGTATTATAACAGTTTGACTGTTCAAAAACCCCCCACAAAGGCCTACCATTTGTAAAAGTAGACACTCCAGGGTATCTTATAAGGTGCATATTGTGCCTTAACATGCCCCCATTTTTTCACCAATATATGCCAAAGTATGTGGTAAAAAAAATTTTGTGCATTTTTTACATACGGATTGCATTTTTGCTGGGCGTTTTGTATATTTCATATGTGCCACTAAGTTCAAACCCCCCAAATTATGCTCAGCTAAGTCTTCTGAGTAAAATGACACCCCATATGAATGTCTTTGGCACTATTTCGTGAAGCTACAGTGCCATATAGGAGACCTGTCCTTTACAGTATTCACAGTAGAATTTTGAGAGACGGATTTAATGAGCCTTAGCTTCCATTTGGGGTATTATAACAGTTTGACTGTTCAAAAAACCCCCACAAAGGCCTACCATTTGTAAAAGTAGACACTCCAGGGTATCTCATAAGGTGCATATTGTGCCTTAACATACCCCCATTTTTTCACCAATATATGCCAAAGTATGTGGTAAAAAAAATTTTGTGCATTTTTTACATACGGATTGCATTTTTGCTGGGCGTTTTGTATATTTCATATGTGCCACTAAGTTCAAACCTCCCAAATTATGCTCAGCTAAGTCTTTTGAGTAAAAATACACCCCCAATGAATGTCTTTGTCACTATTTTGTGAAGCTACAGTGCCATATAGGAGACCAAGCCATATCCGTTTTTACCAAACTTTGAATTTTGACGCTGGGCCTATGTGCAATTTCCAAGCATCTTCGCAGGTTTTAAATTCAAACTACCCCACAAAGGCCTACCATTTCTTAAAGTAGACACCCCAGGGTGTTTCAAAAGGTATAGTTTGAACCTTAGCGTGGGATCATTTTTCCGCTAGCTTGTACCAGATGTAGTGGTAATAAGCGTTTTTTCTGCCTTTTTGACATACAAAGTGAGTTTGCACAGTATATTTTGCAAACCTTATGTGTGCTACGACTGTATAATACTTCATATGTTGCTCAGCTATGTCGGCTGAGTACAGCAATACCCCCGTATGTACCTTTGCCAGGTATGTGTGGACATCGGAGGGGCACATTTGGGACACAGCCATTCCAGTTTTTTTCAAACTTTGAATTTTTATGCTGTGCCTATGTCCCATTTTAGAGTATTTTACCAGGCTATATAATCAAAATACCCCATAAAGTCATACCATTTCTTAAAGAAGACATCCCAGGGTATTTCAAAAGGCATATTTTGAACCTTAGCGTGGGATCATTTTTCCGCTAGCTTGTACCAAGTGTAGTGGTAATAAGCATTTTTTCTGCCTTTTTGACATACAAAGTGAGTTTGCGCAGCATATTTTGCAAACCTTATGTGTGCTATGACTGTATAATACTTCATATGTTGCTCAGCTATGTCGGCTGAGTACAGCAATACCCCCGTATGTACCTTTGCCAGGTATATGTGGATGTTGAAGGGGCGCATTTGAGACGCAGCCATTCAGTTTTTTTCTAACTTTGAAGTTTTACGCTGTGTCCATGTTCCAATTTGGAGTAGTTTAGACGGTTGGTTATTGAAACTTCCCCACAAACACATACTATTTATTAAAGAATACACCCTGGGGTAATTCAAAAGGCATATTTTGAACCTTGGCGTGGGATAATTTTTTCTCTAGTTTGTTCCAGGTGTAGTGGTAATGAGCGTTTTTAAAATGTATTTTTTTACTTTTTATAACTTTTTTACTTTTAAAAACTAGTTTTTAAACTTTTGTTTTGCTTATAAATTTTTTTTAAACTTTCCTAAACTTTCTTAAAACTTTTTTACAGATTTAACATTTTTCTAAGCTATTTTTTTTACTGTTAACCCCTAACTAGCAGTACGCAGCACTAACAGTAAATTCCCCATTTTCCCATAACACCCACCCACCCCAGCTAGCAAAATATATAGTTATAAAATATTTAAATTAATTAATTAAATAAATTGAACCCCTGAGGGTTAAAAAAATAAATAAAAGTTAATCCTCAGGGGTTAAAAAAAATTAGATCACAGTATAATACTGTGATCTCTATTTGATCGCTGTAGGCAGTGATCGACTGGCAGGGAAGGGGTTAATTTTTATTTGGACTAGGTAAAGTGTGTTTTTTTGTTTTTATTACTTAAATGTTATTAAAACATTTTTTTAAGCTTAATTTTTAACTTTTTAAAGTTTCTTTTAAAACTTTTTTTTAACGTTAACCCCTAGTTAGCCTAACGTCAAATCCCCCAATTCCCCACTAACTTCCACCTACCCCAGCTATCTAAATATATAATTTAAAAATAATTTAATTAATTAATTTAATTAATTTAACCCCTGAGGGTTAAAAAAAAAAAGAATTAACCCTCAGGGGTTAAAAAAAAAAATCAGATCATAGTAAAATGTAATCCCTGCCAATTGATCACTGTAGTCAGTGATCAATTGGCAGGGAAGGGGTTAATTTTTTATTAAAATGGGTAAGGGGGGGGACACTTTAAATAAACTTTATTTTTTTTAACAGCAGGGGGCAGGATCAGCACTGATCCGGCTCCCTGCACTTCACACAGAACCCGGAAGTGCAGGGAGCCGGTAGGTGAGTATACTGAGCACATGTGCTCGCTCAGACTTGCGGTCAGAGCGAGCACATGTGCTGGGCAGCTGACCGGGTGCTCCCGGTATGCCTCTAATGCAGAGGCATACCGGGAGCACCATTAACCCCGCGATCGCGGCGATCCGGGGTTAATTTTACCGCGTGACGGACGAGGTCCGTCACCCGTCGTTAAGGGTCTCCCCTGCGTGACGGACCTCGTCCGTCACCCGTCCTGAAGGGGTTAAAGCCACTCGAACACAGGTGGATTATCCCCCTTGTACAGCGCTACGGAATTTGCGGGCACTATATAAATAAAATTATAATAATCAAAAAAACATCCACAATACTACAAACATGGCTGCTGTGTATCCAATAAAAGATCCATCACGCAGGCGTCTAAAAACAGCTTCATGTTTAATCAATACATTTGATAGAGATTTTATTAGACCAACAACTGGATCTAAACTGAAGTTTGGACGCCGCTCACGTATTTTGAGGGCAACAGGATCACAGAAATATAGCACAGTGAGATATATTGCAATTTAATAGGCAGTTCCTTGTTCCCTCAGTAAATGCTATTGAAATACTTCAAGGTGCGTCCTACCTGCACATCATTGTTCGATAATGCTCCAGGCACAATTATACCTGCTCGGGAACCTGCTGGGAAAATACTGTATGAAATAATTAAGCCAGATTGCAATTCTCAGGTAATGTGTGCCGTATACTCTGACTTCTGGATTCCCCCAACCTTGGCCTGTGCCGGATTACGTTACACCCAGCCATTATAGAGTGGCTACACCAAGCAACTGAAAATACTACATTAGCAATACTTGGGCATACCCTCATAGGGGCAATTTTCTATTTTAGGGTGCTACGCTCCCTCAAAGATGACACAGGTCCAGAAAATCACTTGGTTAATTGTATAGAATGAAAAGGAGCATCTAATATATTTGGCCCTTTGACTTACCAAAAACAAAACAAACAAAAAAAAAAAAATGGTACGTGGAGGTACTTTTATATTCGTGAGACAATGTGTAATAAAAATATTGAGGCTTTATTGCACTAACTCATATCAGGATTACAGGATTATGAAACTTCCCATGAAAATGGAATTCATATGTGTGAAAAAACAAACAAACAAAAAAAAAAAACCACAAAAGAAAATATGACCACTAAATGTGGCATTTGTGATAAAGGGACTAGGCCAAACAACTCAAATTATGCCATTTGGAATACCCTGGGGTTGCCTAGCCTTAAGAGTGACATGCAATCACAGGGAGGAAGTTTCTTTCCTGGGCTGCCATACTGTCTGTGACATACCAAAACCACAGACTTTGGACATACCCCATTTTAAAGACCTTGGGTTGTCTACATTTGCACAAGGTATGCCAAGACAGGGGACATTTTTTTTCTTGGGCTGTCATATGGTCGCAAAGGCCCAGCAAACCAATCTGGCAAATTTCAATGTGTAAAAATTGAAATGAGCAAACTCTTTGACCCTGAAACTTTCCAAAACACCATGAAACCTGTACATTGAGTATTTCAGAGTAGTAAAAACTAACAGTATTATGATATTTACAGCTAAATAGTAGTGATGATCATCAATACTAAGGATTTCAGCCAATCCAAGGCAATTGCGCCTGCGTGGAAAGACACCAAGCCAATCCGCAGCTAAAATGCCATGCAGAACTTGGAATATAACAACATTTCTCACACTTTTTACATTGTATTCATATTAAAGGATCACTATAGGGTCAGGAACACAAACATGTATTTCTAACCCTATAGTGTTAACACCACCATCTAGTCCCCCTGGGCCCCTCATGCCTCCCTAAAATATAGTAAAACGCTTACTGTATTCAAGCCAGAAGCTGTAACTCTGCATGCTGTTAGACTCAGAAAAACAAGCAGTCTGCTGACATCATTAGAAGTGGTGGCCTGATCCAATCACAATGCTTCCCCATAGGATTGGCTGAGACTGACAAGGAGGCAGATCATGGGCAGAGCCAGCACAATCCAAACACAGCCCTGGCCAATCAGCATCTCCTCAGAGATGAATTGAATCAGTAAATCTCTATGAGGAAAGTTCAGTGTCTGCATGCAGAGGGAGGAGATACTGAATGTTTGGATGCATTTTAGGCAGCCATGACCCAGGAAGGATCTCTAGCAGCCATCTGAGGAGGGCCAGTGAAGTTATCACTAGGCTGCAATGTAAACACTACATTTTCTCTGAAAAGACAGTTTTTATAGAAAAAAGCCTGAAGGTAATGATTCTACTCACCAGAACAAATTCAATAAGCTGTAGTTGTTCTGGTGTCCCTTTAAATCAGGTTTCTTATGGAAATATTTGATGTGAAATGAAAGCCTGGTTTCTCCTGAACAAAATGATATAGAATATGTGTGGGTGTATCTAAGATGAAAGTAGTAAATTATGGTTGAACAGACATATAGCTCAAATTCTTGGTTTTGTTTTGGTCAGAACTTGGAAAACTGCCTCCATCATAAAGGGGTTTACAGTGACATGGCTCTGGTCAAGACATAGACCACAACTGATGAGGGCCTCCCTACATCATTCATGGCTGTTTGCAAAATTGACAGTCTATAAATATCAGGAGTGGAGACATTAACGGACCCCTGTAACAAGCTGCAATACCTCTAGCACAGATCGATGCCTTCTTGGAGTTGCCTCTGGTCTATTTGCTAATCTGTTGAGGAGTGTTTCCAGTCTTCCTGGATATACATCCGCCTCAGGTTGGTGAAGAGGCTCAAGGTGTCCAAAATAAACATTGGGTTATACTTTCCCTTGTGATTGGCATTTTAGTTGTGGATATTGCTGTGGCTGGGAGCAGTCTGACATACAATCCGTATAGGGTTTAGGATTTCTCTGTTTTGTTTGAGATTTGAGCAAGGACTAACTTTAGAGTACGCTAATAAAATATGTCCACTACCAGCAACCGACTTACAGTTTCAGAGTTTATTTAATAATAATAGCAAAGTTGGGGTGGGTTTTTTTTGTTTTGAATAGAAATGTAAATATCTTGGTTGATTCACAATTTTTTTACTGAATTGGTTTCTTGTTTTTTTTACCCAGTTTCCACTGCTTTCTACTTCTGAGATGCTTAATCTGGGTCAGTTTCATACATTACATTGCTTCCATCACACAACACGCTGGCATGAGCACAACTTTAGAGAATTACCAAACTAGCTGCATTCCCCGATAGCTCTATGTTGTATTATGTTTTTAGCCTTGATCCATGTGAGTGACAGGCACGTCATCAGGATCATATTAACCATTGGAGTACATTAAGATACAAAGACAGAGAATCTAGTAACAAAAAGTCCAGCTACAATGTGCCAGATATCAGTTGGAATTATACCTTAAAATGCACCAGAAAAGTCACACTGTGCAGCACTGCCCCCGGAAGCACCTCTAGTAGCCATTTGAGGAGTGGCCAGTGGGGGTATACCTAGGCTGTAATGTAAACACTGCATTTTCTCTGAAAAAAAAGGTTTACTGCAAAAAGCCTGACGGGAATGATTCTACTCACCAGAACAAATACGTAAGGTTGTATCCTATACATTAAGCTGTAGTTGTTCTGGTGACAATAGTGTCCATTTAAACAAAGTCTTTATTTAGAGCCAAATCATTGTCACTACTCACCTACTTGTAGCATGTGTGGCCCTTTGCATGGGATAACTACCTGAATTATGTGACCCCCAGATTGTCTTAATGCTAATATTAAGAAGTAACATTCGTCCCAGTTAACCATTTCAGAAGATTTCCGGGCACCCATGAAGTCGTACGGTGAATACACATTATGAAAGAAAACAAGAGGGACTCACCTTTAAGTAGCATGTTTGCAAGACTTTCAGCTCCTCTCCTAGTGGCACCACAAACTTCTCCAGCTGCCTATTGTGAGAATACGCCTGAATGTCAGGAGAATCCTCAGACCGCAGCTCTATCTGCGCAATCAGCAGGTTAGACACCACTTGCTGCACTGACTGAAATACAAACAATGGTCTGATTAACAGTATGAAGGTTAAAGGTCGGTACGCAACAGCCAGAGATGGAACCTTATAAACCTGAATTCAGACAGGTCCCAATTCTGGAGAACATCAGATTTTACGTTTTTCAGTTTTTTTAGTTCTAAGAGCAGATGGACTGACATGTAGGTATTTATTCACTAACAGTAAACAGTAAACTGAAACCAAATAGTAAAATTCAGATTAAAATAAGCAGGATGTCACTATAACAGATAAATTCTTTAATGAGCTATTTTAGTCTAAATTTTGCAATTCAACTTTCAAGACAATACAGTTCAATAATTTATGAATAAAGCAGAAGAAAGTTTTCCTAACTGATACACTTTCTGAGTTACATGATCAACACGGTTATATAAAAGTAGCAGGACTTTATTTTGCAACATTGGATAAAATCCATTAAAAAGCCAAATGTTTGGGTTTCACATGTTCACATGGTGGGTGGTCAAGCAAAATAAATTTATGAAAATTGCTCCTAATATATAAAAGTGAAAATAAAAGGCAAAAGAGTGAAGAGAAAGAGAGAGAAATAAAGAATTAAAATAAAGTGAACACAAATAAAAGAAGTTTGTTTCAATTTTTAAATGGTTTTAAACCCATTTTTTGTTAATTTGTATCCAATATTTTTTTCAAATTTTTCTCTAAAAAAATAAATAAATAAAATTCCAAATAAAAATGGTGGGAAAAATATAAAAAATAGAAAGATTACATTCTGTATATGTTCCTAGAACTATTCATTTCCATTTCAGAAAGTCTAATAATGCCACCATGAACAATCACATGTTTAAAGCCATTTTTAGCCATCTACAAGCTTCTTGTTGCATCATCGATAAAAGGGTCACTGTTTAATATTATGTGTTTCCATTACAGTAAGGGTTTAATAACACACCATATATTTCCATGTGTATATCTTCTTACCTTAGTGTCACTTCCTGGTGTGGCGGTAAGAGCCAAGATCCGAAATTGCTGTGTGTAACCAAGTAATGCTCTGACAACCTAAAAAAACAAAAATTGTTAAAAAAAAGTGTAGAAATGAGAAGTAATAAAACTATGGAATGAACATGACCCTCAGATTTGCAAACATCCATTAAAAGACAGTTCCCAAAAAGAATTCAAGGGTCTATTCAACAAACTGGCTTATCTAAACTGTGTCCTAGTCATGTACAGGCCCACAATGACTGGTATGTAGCTGCTAAGCATCATGGCTACACTATACCCATAGCAGTATGAAGTCATTTAAACCACATCCCCAGTCAAGCCATATAATGTGGTTGAAATGTTTCCTTGAAATTAAGTAAAAAAAAAAAAAAAAAGTATAGCTCAAGGGGGCACGACCATCTGATATGGTTCTGGTTATTTTTGAGTGTGCATACACAGCATCAGAGTATAAAAGAACACTATAGTGCTGGTTTGACTGTTGAAGTCTCTGACTCCTTTGTCCATGTAATAAAAAGGTTAGTTTTCTAAACCTTTCTCCCATGCTACGCTTATCTTGTCACGCTTGGCCCCACCTGGTTGTGTCTTCGTAGTGGAGATCATCAATATTAAAGATTTCAGCCAATCCAATGCTTCCTTATAGGAAAGCATTGGGAGGCAACTGCGCATGCGTGGAAAGATGCAGAGAAAGGCAGTGTTTACATTAAATTGCCTGCAGGGACAGGATATGGACACCAGAACCACTACATTAAGCTGTAGTGGTTCTGATGACAATAGTGTCCGTTTAGAGGGAAAGGGAGCAAAGGGAGGAAGTGGGTGGCCAAAAATGTCAGATGACTGTTCTCAGACTATCATACCTCCAGTGGATGCTGGGCTGTGGTAACCATGGACCCTCATTCAGTGGTAAAATACTCAAAATAGTTTACCGTTAAATGAAAGGGATGTTGTCTGGTGACTCAAGTCACTATAACCAATTCAAGTGAGAATAATATGCACAGCATAAGACAAACAAATATATGTACTTAAATTCCATGTGCTAATTATTGTACATAGCATCTATCACAGTGTAATTATTTCATAAACGTTACACTTAAAGTTGAGGTGTGCTCATGAAACACAAAGTCTTTAAAAACATGTTCTTGTGTACATTATGCGGTGCACAGACTGTAACATACTTGACAATATGCATGATTTCCAAGTGCCTTATGAGCCTCATCAATAACGAGACACTTTATTTCAGTAGCAGGACAGGTTCCACGCATGAGATCGTTCACCATGATTTGTGGCGTTAAGAAAAAAGTTCTACACTTCTGCCAGATTTCTTTACGTTTCTGAGCTTGAATGTTTCCTGTTAAGAGAAATCAATTTAGATTAAATTTACACTATAAATCTGAATCAATTTTGCTTAAATCGAATAATTCAGTGCTGCAGAATCTGTTGGTGCTTTATAAATACCAGTAATAAATTAATAAAATAATAATGTAATTAAATATTGCAATAAAAAAAAAAAAACCTTCAATAGCATTTACTGAAATAAGAAAAGAGTTTGTAGAAAAATAGTTTTACTTTAACCCCTTAAGGAGACATGACATGTGTGACATGTCATGATTCCCTTTTATTCCAGAAGTTTGGTCCTTAAGGGGTTAAGGGCAGTAATACTTCTATGGCATCATGCTGAACACAGTCAACGAGAAATGTTAAAAATAAACAGCCAAGTACCATACACACTACAGAGCATGGCAGTGGTTATGGTTGCAGAAGCCTTGTTGCTCCATTTCCGGGCAACTTTCCAAACAGTTTATAAATGGTTTGACACTGACCTAGCCCTGTCAGGTGCTCCGGGTCCTTCCTGTCTGCACTGATATGCTAAAGCAAAACTTTGGGAATTATTTGTTGACAGAGTATACAGTCAAAATCCCTGTGTGAATGGAATTGGATACATGCCAATGGTCATAACTGCAGTTTATACTTTTTAGCCAATGCTTAGTATGAGGATAAATCACAAATCCTAAACATAGAATCACAGAATACATGAAGTAGATGTGTTCAACAATTTCACATAATGCCCATTCAATACCTGTCATCTCTGCCATGTGCTCTTGTGGGATTCCCATAATCTTGAAACAGGCTTCAATCTGCTGGGCCACCAAGGGTTTCGTAGGAGCCATGAAGACAATCTTCCCTGAAGGATACCAGCGATAGAAGTTATACATAACCACGGCAGCAATGAAGGTTTTGCCCAGACCGGTGGGTAGACAGACCAAGGTGTTGTGCAGTAAGGACACCTGTGCAATATTGAACTGATAGTCTCGCACTGGATAATTGGTTGGATAAATCCATAGAGCGCCTGCTGACAAGTCAAACCCTGGCAAGTTTTGGATTTGAGATGTGGAAAGTTCCTGCCCATAACCCTCAGGCAGCCTTATTTCAGTGGTATTATGTATGTGTCCTTTCAAACCATGCTGGGTATTCTCACCTGGGGCCTGGGCTGGGGTCCTGGCTGGGCTGCTCTGCTGGTGGTCCTGGTGGTCCTGACACCCAGTTTCTTTAATGGCAGTTTTATTAAAGCTCTCCTCGACCTCACAGGCCTCCACCAGCAGCACATCATCGTCCTCCTCATCCCCTGGCTGTCCTGGAGGGGGGGGTCTGAACAGGCTGGGGGTCTGTCTCTGTGGCCTGTGACGCCCCCTGTTAGAGCTGGCCCCCCTGCCCCTCTTGGGGTCCCTGGGAGCTCTGGCAGTGGGGGGCAGGCTGGACCCCCAGGACTGGAAGAGGGTTTTCTGTCTGGAAGCCATAGCCCGGGTACACAGGTGTCAGAGACCGGCAGCCCATGGTACACTCACTGAGCCAGCCTTGAAACTGCGCGCTCAATGCGCGTCACTTCCGGGAAGGACAGCGTGCGTGTCAGCGTGACCCGCACGGCATTCTCCCCCCGCCGGAAGTTCACATTGTGAAAGTGTCCGCTCTGGCTGCCCTGCTCCAAGATGGCGGCCTGCGTGCAGTCACGTGGTGTGTGCGCTGGGCGGTGCTCTGATAAAGTGTGAGCTGTGAGGGTTAATAAAGTGTCATGGCGGCCCCCGGGGAGCCCGCTCGGCCCTGGACTGAGGAGCAGCTGCACAGCGACGATCTGCCCAAGAAAGACATCATTACATTCCTGCAGGACAGCGCCTCCGACTCGGTACTCCGCCACGGGGGGTGAGGGGCCCCTGGCAGCCACTGGGGGTGAGGGCCCCTGGCAGCTACTGGGAGGTACACGGGGGGGCCACTGGCAGCTACTGGGGGACACGGGGTGAGGGGCCCCTGGCAGCTACTGGGAGGGGGGGACACACGGGGGTGAGGCCCTGGCTACTGGGAGTGGGGGACACGGGGGTGAGGGGGGCAGCCACTGGGGCCACTGGCAGGGGGTGGTACACGGGGGTGAGGGGCCCCTGGCAGCTACTGGGAGGGACAGGGGTGAGGGCTGGCAGCCACTGGGGGGACACGGGGTGAGGGGGCCCCTGGCAGCCACTGGGGGACACGGGGGTGAGGGGCCCCTGGCAGCTACTGGGAGGGACACGGGGGTGAGGGGCCCTGGCAGCCACTGGGAGGGGGGGGTGGGCCCCTGGCAGCTACTGGGAGGGGGGACACGAGGGGGTGAGGGCCCTGGCAGCTACTGGGAGGGACACGGGGTGAGGGGGCCTGCAGCTACTGGGGGGGGACACGGGGGTGAGAGGACACTGGCAGCTACTGGGAGGGGGGACACGGGGGGAGGGGACACTGGCAGCTACTGGGAGGGGGACACGGGTGAGGGGCCCCTGGCAGCCACTGGGGGGTGGTACACGGGGTGAGGGGCCCCTGGCAGCTACTGGGTGGGGGGGGTACACGGGGGTGAGGGCCACTGGCAGCTACTGGGAGGACACGGGGGTGAGGGACCTGGCAGCCACTGGGAGGGGGACACGGGGTGAGGGGCTGCCACTGGGGGTGGTACACGGGGGTGAGGGCCCCTGGCAGCCACACGGGGGTGAGGGGCCACTGGCAGCTACTGGGGGGGACACGGGGGTGAGGGGCCAGCTGGGAGGGGGTACACGGGGGTGAGGGAATAGCAGCTACTGGGAGGGGGACACGGGGGTGGGGGCCCCTGGCAGCCACTGAGGGGGGGTACACGGGGTGAGGGGCCCCTGGCAGCCACTGGGTGGTACACGGGGTGAGGGCCCCTGGCAGCTACTGGGAGGGACACGGGGTGAGGGGCCCAGCCACTGGGGAGGGACACTGGCAGCTACTGGGAGGGGGGGGGGTGAGGGTGGCAGCCACTGGGGGGTACCCTGGCAGCTACTGGGAGGGACACGGGGGTGAGGCCCCTGGCAGCTACTGGGAGTGGAGGCAGCCACGGGGGTGGGGATGAGGCCCCTGGCAGCTACTGGGGGTGGGAGGGGGCCTGGCAGCCACGGTGGATTGGGTGAGGGGGCCACTTGGCACATCCCTGGACACGTGGGAGGGGCCCCTGGCAGCTAGGGAGGGGGGGGGTGAGGGGCCTGGCAGCTACTGGGGACACGGGGGTGAGGGGCTACTGGGGGTGAGGGGTCCCTGACTGCAACTTGGGGGGGAGGGGGGTATGAGAGACACTTGGCCTATGTTCTTATTAAGGGAGTAGTGCTATAAGGGCCCAGAACTGTACTGATCACATTTATTTCTGATATCTCTCAAAAATTCTATTTTGATCAAGTTTGGTCAGCAGCCAATCGGTTGAAATGTTTAATTTATTATAAACTATGAATAGGATAGATTATTTGGGCCATCATTAGCAGGACAAGGGGTAAATTCTCGGCACCGTGCAAGAAATGTCACAATAAAGGCACAGTTTAGAGACCATTATCCTTAGGCACCCTGTCTGGCTTATGTGAATGTTCCACCACGACCTCGCTTGATGCCAGTGTTCTAATCGCACGAGAGGGCCACAGATAGTGACATACACATTCAACACAAGTTAAGCACACATGTAAAAAGTGTTGCTTACACCAGTTTTTTTTCACACTGCTGAAATTTCAGTTCACTACGCACAATACGTTATTATATATTGCTCCGGTGAATTTGCACATTGCAGTCACTAGGCACAATACATTATTATAAACTGCTCTGGTGAATTTGTACGTCGCAGTCACTACACACAATACATTATTATATACTGCTTCGGTGAATTTGTACATTGCAGTCGCTACGCACGATACATTTGTTATAAACTGCTCCGGTGAATTTGTACATTGCAGTCGCTACGCACAATACATTATTATAAACTGCTCCGGTGAATTTGTACATTGCAGTCGCTACGCACAATACATTATTATAAACTGCTCCGGTGAATTTGTACATTGCAGTCGCTACGCACAATACATTATAAACTGCGCCGGTGAATTTGTACGTTGCAGTCGTTACGCACAATACATTATTATAAACTGCTCCGGTGAATTTGTACGTTGCAGTCGCTACGCACAATACATTATATACTGCTTCGGTGAATTTGCACGTTGCAGTCATTACGCACAATACGTTATTATAAACTGCTCCAGTGAATTTTTACATTGCAGTAGACTAACCTTTTTTTTTAATATTCAGTTTCTTTCAGAATATAAACTACATGGGAACATAAAGAATGTAGCCAAAACTGCAAAGAAAGATCACCTGGTTGCTGCTTTTAATAAACTTTTTGAGACTAAGGTATGTACGGTGTGTTTAATTCTGCTAGACGTCTTTTCACTATAATTTTAATTTTTTTGTAAAATATAAATGTTTAGCATTAGCTGATACCTTCATTAGGATTTTATTTATTTGGTAATCTTTTAAAATATATATTTTAGAAATAATATATATCACTCAAGAAATATTCAAAAAAATTTCAAAATCCTTGTTAAAGTTTATCTAAAACTATTACTTTGTTTGTATTTAAAACATATTCAAAAATATTACCTCAAGGCCTTAATGTGGCCAAACCCAACTCTTATGGCTTATTCATGCAGATAAAATTTTAGATCTGGTCATGTGAGTGGTATATGGCCCTCTCAGCTTGTATGGAATAAAAGTATTTACCGTATATACTCGTGTATAAGTCGAGTGCAGTTTTGTGACCAACAATTGTGAAATATACTATGCCTCGTGGATAAGTCGAGGGTAAAACTTGGGGCTATGAAATTCTGTGATTTTTATAATTATATACACACACACTCTGCATTATATATACACACTCATACAAACACACACTCTGTATTATATACACACACACACACACACACACACTCATACAAACACACACTCTGCATTATATATACACACACACTCATACAAACACACACTCTGCATTATATATACACATACACACTCATATAAACACACACTCTGCATTATATACACACACTCGCTCATACAAACACACACTCTATATTATATACACATACTCACTCATACAAACACACACTCTGCATTATATACACACTCAATATAATCTGCATATAATCCACAACAATATAAAATCTGAATGATTAAAATATTTAAATAAATTAAAACAAACAGCAGCACTCAATTTAGCATCACTACAGAAGTAGCACCACAAATTTACCTTTAGAACTCTGTGTGTATATAATGCAGAGTGTGTGTTTGTGTAGTGTGTGTGAACTGGGTGGGGTGAGGGTATTTTTATTATTGTAATTTTTTTTATTTTAATATTATTATTATTTTATTATTTTAATTTTTTTTTTGTCCCCCCCTCCCTGCTTGTTAACTGGTCAGGGAGGGGGCTATCTTAATCCCTGGTGGTCCAGTGGCATGGGCTGTGCAGTGGGGGGGGCGGCAGGAAGCATTTACTTACCTTTCCTGCAGCTCCTGTCAGCTTCCTTCTCCTCCGTTTCGGTCAGCTCCACTGCAAGTCTCGCAGTCTGGTTGCCGTGCGGATCGTTGCCACGGCTCTGACGGCCGCGGCTCTCTAAGTTGCCATAATACATAATACAGACAGTGACTCGAGTATAAGTCGAGTGGGGGTTTTTAAGCACAAAAAATGTGCTGAAAAACTAGACTTATACTTGAGTATATACTGTAGTTATAATGTTTTCTTTTCTGTAACTTGTGAGTACAATGCATCTTTCATGACTTTGCAGATATAGCTCCCAAATACTCTGGTGCCTGTCCCTATGATTCGTGATGTCTATGCTGATTAGATTGTGTGTGTGTGTATTCTGTACTGTAAGGGGGTTGACAATGATGTTATTTAGGTTAAAGTTTGTTTCTGTTTATTTTATTTTCTCCTAGCGTTTCAAAGGCAGCGATGCGCAGGACAACTTAGCAAAAGATGTGAAAGCTCTTAAAGTAGACGAAAAGGTCAAGGAAACAAAACCGGAAGAGACAGTAGACGAGGTATGAAGCGCTGAGGATCCGTTTAACTGTAGAGAATTAGATTCTGATTGACTAAATTAGTTAACCTGGAATACCTCTCCATCGCCGCTATAGTCACAGCTGGGCTATTTTGTAAATTGGATTTTAGTTCGGTAACAAATTCCAGTTTGGTGAATAAATCTATGAGTTTAATCCTAAAACACATGGATTGACCACCTGCTCATTTCTATTAGTAACTTCTAGATTGAAGCAGTTGTATTAAAGGATTACTCCAAGCACCATGATCACTTCATTGATTTGAAGTGGCCATGGTGTCAGGAGTGTGTACATAGAAAAATGGTTAGAATTGTGGCAACTGACATTTAATGTGGATAAGTGCAAGATAATGCATCTTGGACGTAAAAACCCAAGGGCAGAGTACAGAATATTTGATAGAGTCCTAACCTCAACATATGAGGAAAGGGATTTAGGGGTGATTATTTCTGATGACTTAAGGTAGGCAGACAATGTAATAGAGCAGCAGGAAATGCTAGCAGAATGCTTGGTTGTATAGGGAGAGGTATTAGCAGTAGAAAGAGGGAAGTGCTCATGCCATTATACAGAACACTGGTGAGACCTCACTTGGAGTATTGTACACAGTTCTGGAGACCGTATCTTCAGAAGGATATTGATACCTTAGAGAGGGTTCAGAGAAGGGCTACTAAACTGGTTCATGGATTGCGGGATAAAACTTACCAGGAAGGGTTAAAGGATCTTAACATGTATAGCTTGGAGGAAAGACGAGACAGGGGGGATATGATAGAAACATTTAAATACATAAAGGGAATCAACACAGTAAAGGAGGAGACTATATTTCAAAGAAGAAAAACTACCACAACAAGAGGACATAGTCTTAAATTAGAGGGACAAAGGTTTAAAAATAATATCAGGAAGTATTACTTTACTGAGAGGGTAGTGGATGCATGGAATAGCCTTCCAACTGAAGTGGTAGAGGTTAACACAGTAAAGGAGTTTAAGCATGCATGGGATAGGCATAAGGCTATCCTAACTATAAGATAAGGCTAGGGACTAATGAAAGTATTAAGAAAATTGGGCAGACTAGATGGGCCGAATGGTTCTTATCTGCCGTCACATTCTATGTTTCTATATGGTGTTTAACCCCTTTACTTCCAGAAGTGTGGGGGCCATTAGAAAGCTTGGAACAAGAGTTCTGTCAGTCTGGCTAATGTCATTTCTGTGCAAATTCCCATGTACAGTGTGTCATTCATTGGCTGAGAGTGGTTCTCTCGCCCGCCCGCCTCAGAGCCCATTGCTAAATGGATAAAGCTATATTTAAATTAAATTAGATATGTTCCGGTGTTTAGATTACTAAGCCCCCTGTATGAGAAGCAGTGAACCCCGTGCTTCTCATAGAGCGGAAGCACTGCACGTGCATTGTTAATTGCATACATTTGAGGCAAAACGTTAGTATTTATTCACTAATCAACGAATTGCAGCAAATTGAAAACTGATGCAACATTTGGAAAAATCTTCCAAATGGTCTTTGGTCATCTTACACTTGTGTGTAATATGCACATAATTTGATTTGACAGATATCTCCAAGCTTTAGCATGCAATTAGGAAGATTTGCTTTGTAATAATTTGGAAAAAAAATTTGCAACCTCATATTCTCTCAATTGTTTTGTGAACATGGAAAGCCAGATGTATACTAATGATTTATATTTCTTAGGGTCCTCCCAAATATACCAAATCTATCCTCAAAAAGGGAGATAAAGTTAATGTCCCTAAAAAAGGAGATACCGTACACTGTTGGTACACTGGGACCTTGGAGGATGGCACCGTGTTTGACTCAAATATCCAGACAAGTAAGAAATTTAACTCGCTTTGTAAAATTAAATGGGTGCAGTGATTGGAGGAGGGTGCAGAGGCCTTTGGGACGTTGTGAGCATCTGAAATTGATATACAAGTTCTTGATTCACTCAGAGGGGAATGATTGGTGCTGTATTTTTAAGCTGTAGGCATAGTTTATGTTGATGAATTAAAAATACAGTCTGATATTTAAAGGGACACAATCATACACAGTATAATTGCAGGATTAGCTGTTGGTTTAAATGTTCTTTATATATTTTTGACAGGCGCTAAGAAGAAGAAAGCTGCTAAACCTCTGAGTTTTAAAGTTGGAATTGGCAAAGTCATTCGAGGAGTAAGTTTCACTAAACCATGTTTTTCAGATGGGTCACCCACAAAATATAATTAAAGCTCTGTTCGTTCTATTGGAAGAGTATTGAGGATACTGTGCCCTGATAATGGTGTTTGCAAAGGTCAGAGACATTGTCTGCTGATGCTAAATGTGTGTTTCCTTCCATTCAGTGGGATGAAGCTCTCCTTACAATGACCAAGGGCGAGAAAGCCAAACTCGAAATCCAGCCAGAATGGGCCTACGGCAAAAAAGGAATGCCTGATGCAAAGTATCCTTTCTAGCACTAGTGAGCGGTTTCTATGGTAACCCCAAACGTGATAAGAATTTATTTATTACGCCATCTGATCTGCCCATGCTGAATGGAATATGTTAATTATTTAGTTCTAAAATACAGCATATTGCTGATTCCAAGCATGTTGTCAATATTTAATTTCCCTCATTGGAAGCATACTCCATGTATTGTCTTCCCCATCTGTAAAGAAGTATTTCCTCAAATTAACAATAACCCCCCCCCCGCCTCCCTTTTTGCTTATTTATCTCTTGTCACTATATATGCATTCATCTAAGAAATGGATAAGGGGGCAGAGTGGACTAGCACCCCTGTCTCATGTTAAAACTAGGTAAGTATCCACCAATATTGGGGTACCTTGACATGATGTGACCAAATCCATACGGTTTACACTTGAGACGTGTTTTTAAGATGACGTATTTGGAATTAATGGATTTCTTTTTGGATGTACTTTACAAAATGTTCAGTTCATAGTATTCCATTTACATGGGACATTCTAGTATGTGTGCTGTTACTTGACGCAATAAGTGCTTAGAATTCACCGAATTATTTGTTTATTTTTCTTTCATGTTTTTAAAAAATATTGTTCAATTTCCCTTAACTTTAATCAGAATCCCACCTAATGCTAAGCTATTCTTTGAAGTGGAGCTGGTGGATATAGAATGAGCATTTCTGTGAGAAATACGTGACTAAGTTTGACTTCATGTTCTTATTCTGGCCAAAAACTGTAAATAAAACTACACGTGACCTGTGATTTTGGCTTTATCTTAATGTTTTACAAACTTTCAGGATGGTTTTCATTCAATGTATATTTCTGCGTACCGTTTCCGGCAGTTCCTAATCGGGGATACGGCAGGGGTCCGGAAGCAGAGATGCATTTTATGCATTAACAAGATCAGCGGTTACATTGCTAAAACAATGGGGATTGTAGAAGGCTACATGGTGTCTTTATACTCGCAAGTGGATGTTTAGTGAGAATCCACAAAGGGCTAATGAGATTATTAATTAAATCGAAGGGATGAGAAGTGTCAAGAAAATGTAAAACTTTCTTCCAAGCTGGAAATCCTTTTCCAACGCGCCTGCTGTGGATTAAAATATACAATTCACTTGTTGAGTATTCACATTTCACTTTCTTCCTATACCGCTGGGTTGGTGAATCCATGCCATTGCGCTGCTTGACCTAAATCTACAATTTCCGTGTACGATCTCCACAATGCTCGGAGAAGGATCTGTCTGTTTCTCCTGAAGAAAGCTTCACCAGCAGAGACCATCAACATAAGTTTTGGTAGCAGAACATATAGGTTTTTATAGTGTACCTGGTTTTACTATATTCAATATTTATTTTTATTTTTTTTGTGCTATTTATTCTGTTGGTCAGGGTGAAATAGTGCTGCCTGACTGTAGATGGAATTCATGTACTACACAGTGAATGGTGAGGTACATGTTTATTAATATACTTTAAGAGTGGTGGGGTAGGGAGATGTAATCATGTTGAGCATATACGCCACTTTGGCAGTGTGACACAATCACTGCTGCCCACGTGCCAATAAGAAGCAGTAAAGGATGGAACTACATGGTTTGAATTAAATCAAGTCACTGAGTGTGGTTAAACCTGTAATCCTATCAAACTCTACATCCGTTCTGACACCAAGTGAGCTGCTTTGATGCAAACCTTCCAATGTGACAAAGGGGGACACGTTTTCATTGTGGGGATGTGCTGAGAAGTTTTAGGTGATTTACTAATAATTTCTGAAACTGAAATGTAATTTAGAACAAGATGTTATTTACACGGACTGATTTCTGAACATATTTATTGGCGTTAAAGACACATTACTGGGAGTATTATTGCCTCGGAGCTCTGTTATACACTCAGACACATTACTGGGAGTATTATAGCTGTGGAGCTCTGTTATACACTCAGACACATTACTGGGACTAGTATTGCTGTGGAACTCTGTTATACACTCACATTACTGGGAGTATAATTGCTGTGGAGCTCTGTTATACACTCAGTCACATTACTGGGAGTAGTATTGCTGTGGAGCTCTGTTATACACTCAGACACATTACTGGGAGTATTATTGCTGTGGAACTCTGTTATACACTGACATTACTGGGAGTATAATTGCTGTGGAGCTCTGTTATACACTCAGTCACATTACTGGGAGTAGTATTGCTGTGGAGCTCTGTTATACACTCAGACACATTACTGGGAGTAGTATTGCTGTGGAGCTCTGTTATACACTCAGACACATTACTGGGAGTATTATTGCTGTGGAGCTCTGTTATACACTCAGACACATTACTGGGAGTAGTATTGCTGTGGAGCTCTGTTATACAATCAGACACATTACTGGGAGTAGTATTGCTGTGGAACTCTGTTATACACTCAGACACATTACTGGGAGTATTATTGCTGTGGAGCTCTGTTATACACTCAGTCACATTACTGGGAGTAGTATTGCTGTGGAGCTCTGTTATACACTCAGACACATTACTGAGAGTATTATTGCTGTGGAGCTCTGTTATACACTCAGACACATTACTGGGGGTATTATTGCTGTGGAGCTCTGTTATACACTCAGACACATTACTGGGAGTATTATTGCTGTGGAGCTCTGTTATACACTCAGACACATTACTGGGAGTATTATTGCTGTGGAGCTCAGTTATACACTCAGACACATTACTGGGAGTATTATTGCTGTGGAGCTCAGTTATACACGTTACTGGGAGTATTATTGCTCTGATACACTCAGACACATTACGCAGAGTATTATTGCTGTGTTACACACTCAGACACATTACTGGGAGTATTATTACTGTGGAGCTCTGTTATATACTGTCACATTACAGGGAGTATTATTACTGTGGAGCTCTGTTATACACTCACATTACTGGGAGTATTATTGCGGTGGAGCTCTGTTATACACTCACACACATTACTAGGAGTATTATTGCCGTGGAGCTCTGTTATACACTCAGACACATTACTAGGAGTATTATTGCCGTGGAGCTCTGTTATACACTCAGACACATTACTAGGAGTATTATTGCCGTGGAGCTCTGTTATACACTCAGACACATTACTGGGCGTATGATTGCCGTGGAGCTCTGTTATACACTCAGACACATTACTGGGAGTATTATTGCTGTGGAGCTCTGTTATACACTCAGACACATTACTGTGAATATTATTGCTGTGGAGCTCAGTTATACACATTACTGGGAGTATTATTGCCGTGGAGCTCTGTTATACACTCAGACACATTACTGGGAGTATTATTGCCTCGGAGCTCTGTTATACACTCAGACACATTACTGGGAGTATTATTGCTGTGGAGCTCTGTTATACACTCAGACACATTACTGGGAGTATGATTGCGGAGGAGCTCTGTTATACACTCAGATACATTACTGGGAGTATGATTGCTGTGGAGCTCTGTTATACACTCAGACACATTACTGGGAGTATTATTGCTGTGGAGCTCTGTTATACACTCAGACACATTACTGGGAGTATTATTGCTGTGGAGCTCTGTTATACACTCAGACACATTACTGGGAGTATTATTGCTGTGGAGCTCTGTTATACACTCAGATTACTGGGAGTATTATTGCTGTGGAGCTCTGTTATACACAGACACATTACTGGGAGTATTATTGCTGTGGAGCTCTGTTATACAGACACACAAATAATACGGCGCTCTGAGAGAAGAGGTGTTTGGGCCCATATTAGGGACTGTCCGCCTAACCCGGAACACTTGGTAGATATGAATTTGAGTGTTTGGGAGGACTGAGGTAACAATGTAATATTATTATGATTTATAAAGCGCCAACAGATTCCGCAGCGCAGTACAATATGTGTGACTTGGTATGCCAACTGGGCACTGGGTGGGTTAGCAAGTCAAGCTGGAGGGTCTCACACTTGCAGCCTCCCTCTGTCTGCTCTCACTGTAAGGCAGATCATGGGTGTATGGCAGACAGTTATTGCCACCCTTTAATCCCACAATCCTCCAATCTATTGTGTCCAGAACTACAGGGATTGGCGACACAAACATACTTCGCTCTAGTGCTTAGAACGTTCTTGCTGGAGGGAGGCTCTATGCTGCGGACCTCTGAACACTTGCTGCCCCATACGTTGAATGACGTCACTTCCCGTCCAGCCATGTTGTGAACGCATTTACCGGAAGTTGGTAGATTTTGGGGCATGCGCAGTGCGGCGCTGAGCAAGTTTTGGAGCTGTGAGAGGTGAGCGTGCGTTCCAGCCTGGCTCTGACACCAGGATATGGGCCCCTCACTGCCAGGGGCCACAGGTCAGCAACTCAGCTACAGTCCCAGGCAGCCTGGGGGTCAGAATCATCCACTGTGTGTATAGAGCTAATATAGCCCAGTGTGTGTCAGTGGGACTGTGTGTATAGAGTTAATATAGCTCAGTGTGTGTCAGTGGGACTGTGTGTATAGAGTTAATATAGCTCAGTGTGTGTCAGTGGGACTGTGTGTATAGAGTTAATATAGCACAGTGTGTGTCAGTGGGACTGTGTGTATAGAGCTAATATAGCCCAGTGTGTGTCAGTGGGACTGTGTGTATAGAGCTAATATAGCCCAGTGTGTGTCAGTGGGACTGTGTGTATAGAGCTAATATAGCACAGTGTGTGTCAGTGGGACTGTGTGTATAGAGCTAATATAGCACAGTGTGTGTCAGTGGGACTGTGTGTATAGAGCTCAGTGTGTGTCAGTGGGACTGTGTGTATAGAGCTAATATAGCACAGTGTGTGTCAGTGGGACTGTGCGTATAGAGCTAATATAGCACAGTGTGTGTCAGTGGGACTGTGTGTATAGAGCTAATATAGCTCAGTGTGTGTCAGTGGGACTGTGTGTATAGAGCTAATATAGCCCAGTGTGTGTCAGTGGGACTGTGCGTATAGAGGTAATATAGCCCAGTGTGTGTCAGTGGGACTGTGCGTATAGAGCTAATATAGCCCAGTGTGTGTCAGTGGGACTGTGTGTATAGAGCTAATATAGCCCAGTGTGTGTCAGTGGGACTGTGTGTATAGAGCTAATATAGCCCAGTGTGTGTCAGTGGGACTGTGTGTATAGAGCTAATATAGCCCAGTGTGTGTCAGTGGGACTGTGCGTATAGAGCTAATATAGCCCAGTGTGTGTCAGTGGGACTGTGCGTATAGAGCTAATATAGCACAGTGTGTGTCAGTGGGACTGTGCGTATAGAGCTAATATAGCACAGTGTGTGTCAGTGGGACTGTGTGTATAGAGCTAATATAGCACAGTGTGTGTCAGTGGGACTGTGTGTATAG